AAGTACTAGCAAAACAGGAGGATGGGCTGTCAAATCAACCCGTCCTTTCAAAATAACGTCGCTTGTCGCTCGTACGCGCGCAATGGGCAAAAATGGACGTAATTTAAAATGAAATCGGCTCACGAAAGTGATGTACTGTCGCCTTTTCTGTTTTGAGTCCTCCGGCTTACTCGGTTAGGTTAGGAGAGGAAACTTTCAATTAACGGTTTTCATGACGTTTTGAAACCTTAGGAGAATTTCCTGCCCTCTTAACCTACCAGACAAATGGTAGATAACTGTTTACTTTCCACATTCAACTGACTAGATTGATTAATTCCAGTTTAAGTACATAACTAAATATTTTTTAGCCACAAGTAGAAATAATGACCAACACATCTCAACAAAGTTATACTAGGCTGCATAAGTCGACTTAATAACTATTTCAATGAATTCCAAGTATACTTTTCTAAGATTGGAGAAAACAGGTTTCCCGTCGTGATTCTATATATTATATTACACAATAGTACAGTTTTCACAATTTAAAACAAAATTAGAATAAATAACACAATTTCATGTTTATTTATGGAAGACTAAATTGAAAATCACGTTTCACTTCTATGAGTTATAAAGAAAAAAATAACAAATCACCCCGGACATTTGTAAATAAAAAAATATGAAAACCATCTTGAAACAACAAATGTGGATTATTTATTTTTCAAATTCAAAGAGCAACAGATAATTTGATCCAAATTAGAGTGGTGGTTTATGGCGAACGTACGGTGGTACAATGTAAGTTTTGGATTAGAAGATAAGTACTTGTCTAATCTAGTTCTAAATGTTTACACGGTATTACTCTCAGTTATATCATAAGGCGAGCTGTTCCATTTGTTTACCTCTCACCAAACAAACAACATTTAATTGCGTTGGAGAAAAAAATTCCCTGTAATTTTTAATTCAGCGTTGTGCTCTATATTGGTGTAATAAATTTTGTTTAGTCGAGATTCCCAACCGCTTGGGCTGTAGGGTAGAGCGACGGTCTCCCTTCATGCAGGCCGGCGTTCAATGATATATTGGACTTGTACCCTAGATTAACCATGTAATGTAACTATATAACCTGAGCTTCTAAAAGCATCTTAATCACCTTCAGTGGTTAAGTTCTTAATTGCACACTAGTTTCTCTTGTCAGCTATCTCACCCTGTCAGAGTAAAAGAGACAAAATGTGTATGTATGTGTATATATGTATGTGTGTGTGTGTATGTATGTATGTGTGTGTATGTATGTATGTGTGTGTATGTATGTGTATAAAGTATAAAGCTGATCAGAATTGCATTTCACCATTATAAATTCACCTTAATGCATTCATAAATCTATGTATCTATTTATTTACGTATGTAGCCGGCCGACCGAAGCGGACAGCACACTGGACTTGTGATCCTGTGGTCCTGGGTTCGATCCCAGGCGCCGGCGAGAAACAATGGGCAGAGTTTTTTTTCACCCTATGCCACCTGTTACCTAGCAGTAAAATAGGTACCTGGGTGTTAGTCAGCTGTCACGGGCTGCTTCCTGGGGGTGGAGGCCTGGTCGAGGACCGGGCCGCGGGAACACTAAAAAGCCCCGAAAGCATCTCAAAATAACCTCAAGATATCTAGCTGAGCCTAACATTTTAAAATCACTACGATCACCTTCTGTGGTTGTTCAATAAATCTCTGAACTGTATGTGTGACAAACCTCTCACCCTGTCCATGGAGGACAGAAGAAAATGTATATATGCTGGTTAGCATTGTAAATGTGTGGCCACGTCTGTGGTAGAAAATAAAAATAATAAAAAAAAAATCTCCGACCATCCAACAGGTTGGGCACCATTCCTTACCTCCGTCCCATCCCAAATAATTATCCTAATCTCTTCCAAGTGCTATATAGTCGTAATGGCTTGGCGCTTTTTCCTGATGTTGTTATTGTTTTAGATTCAGCCACTCGGAACAAAAAGTTCCTAGTAGCACAGGCTATGGTGATCCCGTAGTGGACTTACCTTACTGTAAGGCAGGGGTGGGGCTGTATGTGTGTGTCCTCCGTGGTCCTCCGATAGTTCCGTTCCCTTAGTTGAGATTTTCTTGCACTCTGAATATGGTGTATATTAAGTTTAGGCTTACTTATTTAGGCCTAACACGGACTAGGCTAAATTGTACGGTTACTGTTCCATTTTTTAGCCTGAATTTTGAAGGATTGCAGTAGTACAGAATGCGAACTTTGTATTTTGTACAACAGTGCCCTTCTGTACGTTGACCATACACAGCTGCTAGTATATTATCACTTTTGGAGGATGAGGCTGAATAATCATGAACAATAATCGAATTATAAATAATAATCGTGTTAAATCGCCTCATCTTCTTCTCCTGTCAAGACCGAATAAATTAAGATCTTTTAAACAATATCCGTATTGTTCATTTTCTTGTATCACCTTCGTCCCACCTCCCTCAACATCTTCCACTCTCGCTTCATGCAGGTCGGCGTTCAATCCCCGACCGCTCAAGTGGTTGGGGTACCATTCCTTCCCCCGTCCCATCCCAAATCCTTATCCTGACCCCTTCCAAGTGCTATATAGTCGTAATGGCTTGGCGCTTTCCCTTGATAATTCCTTCCACTCTGTCAATATTTGTTTCTCAAATGACGCTGACTCTTATTACACTCAGTTACTTATCAGTTAACTTTCCTATTATGACTGACTCGCAATTATGTGAAGTCCAAGTGTAGTGTAGATGTGGTCTCCGTTTTCTTCCCGAGTCATCCGGGAACACCCATCTAATATATCTATATGTATAAAAGTAGATTTTTATTTGTCTGTCCTTGGTTGGAGGGCAGATGCTTGGGGCTAGCCTTACCTAACTTTGCAGGGTGATTGATATGTGGTAGGGAGGTGTCATGGGTGGGTAAGGGTCAGCCGTATTGCTCCCCTTTTAAGATATAGGCTCCCATTGTGAGCCCCCATGAAGACTGGTTTTTTTTTCCTGGGAGATTTTCCAGATGATTATAATATTACATATATTGACATGCAAAGCGTGTGTTCTTAAATGGTGCAACCGCAATTGTGGTCAAGACTGTCACTGGGAACTTACATCTGGTCAACTGAGGCAACACACACACACACACACACACACACACACACACACACACACACACACACACACACACACACACACACACACTGTGAGCGTGTCTGAATCAACAGACACTGAGGATGGACAAGAGTCAGCTTCAAGGTAATGTACTTGAACATAGATGGGATTACAAGCAAGGCAAGAAAACTTAGGGAAAGAGCACAAGAAGTGAATCTGGATGTAATTAGACTCACAGAAACAAAACTCTCAGGAATCATAACAAATGTGGTGTTTGCCCCAGGACTACACTGTAATAAGGAAAGAGAGGGAAGTAAGGGGAGGAGGCGGAGTGGCTTTACTGATGAGAAAGAAATGGAGTTTCGAGGAGATAGTTATTCCAAGCTGAGAAGGGTTCAGAGACTTCATAACAGGCATCATGACAATGGGAGGACCAAGAGTAGTAGTAGCAGTGATATATAACCCACCACCAAATGACAGAAGACCCAGGCAAGAGTATGACGGAAATAACATGGCAGTTAACACTATAATTGAGAGAGAAGCGCCTGCTTCTTGAGAGCAGAGAAAGATACCAGAGTGCCAGGAATGAATACGTCAGGGTGAGAAGAGAGGTAATATGAAAAATGACATGGCGAATAAGGCAAAGACTCAGACCAAATTGCTGCACAGCCACATCAGGAGGAAAATAACAGTGAAGGAACAGGTAATGAAACTAAGGATAGGGGCAGACAGATTCACTACAAACGACAAGGAAGTGTGCGAATAACGCAATAAGAAATTCCAGGAGGTCTTCACATCAGAGCAAGGAGAAGTTCCAGAGATAAGAGGGAACATCTAAGAGGACTAAGAACTAAGAGGTATGAGTTATGAGGAGAGGATGCGTGAACTGCACCCCACGTCGCTGGAAGACAGAAGAGCTCGGAAAGACATGATTACCACATACAAAATTCTCAGGGGAATTGAAAGGTAGACAAGGATGGAGTATTTAACACGGATGGTACACGCATAAGGAGACACAGGTAGAAGCTGAGTACCCAAGTGAGTCACAGAAACATTAGAAAGAACTTTTTCAGTGTCAGAGTAGTTTGTAAATGGAATGCACTAGGAAGTGATGTGGTGGAGGCTGACTCCATACACAGTTTCAAATGTAGATATGATGGAGCTCGAGAAGCTCAGGAACCTGTACACCAGTAGATTGACGGTTGAGAGGCGGGACCAAAGAGCCAAAGCTCAACCCCCGCAAGCACAACTATGAGAGTAGTGTTCCTCTCTCTAAAAGACTAGAGTTGAACTTGCAACTTATGACAGTATCGGTCCGCTCTCAAAGGTTATTGATCATTTCATTAGCAATTGTTATTCTTTAATTCATTCATAATTTTTAAAAATATAAGCAGGTTTCTGTGCGATAGGTTTCTGTTCCCTGGGATTCTATGCACTAGGTAAATCATGGTCAACAAAATATCTAAAGCAGTAGGCCTATGTAACTGATTCTATTACACATAGTTTATACAGATCTAAATATTATACAGATTTATACATATTCCCCCCTAAATATTGGTATTAGGGGGGGGGGGACTATGCAGCCTCTGGGGCATATAATTTTGTTTATAGCCTAACAACGTTAGTCAGCCTACGAAAATTTTGTTATCAGATAAATGGGCGGCGCTATCCAAGAAAAGCAATTCTGATGCCAGGAAACATTAGAATATTGAATATACCTTCAGTTCAAGTCATCTATGGCAGACACTTGCTAATGGCAAGATGCCAGACAACCAATCTACAGGACAGCTGGCGATGTAGTGTCTAAATATAGTGGTATTGTCAGTTGAAGGGGCAATAGCGAGAGGGGTATAAGGTCGAGGCATCAGCAGCCTGGTGGGCTGGGAGCCGAGACTATGAGAGCGAGCAGTGAGACCCAGTCAGCCAGTTTCCCACATAAGCTGGTCGGCGCAAGTCCGCTCCGCATCCCCACCAACTCGGGCACCATGAATACCTGGCTCATGTTTGGTCTCTGTTTCTTGGTGTTTACACTTCACTCCTTGTCTGGAGCGGATGGATCCAAGAAGTACATTCCTCCGGTTGTTTTAAGTAAGTATATTTCGGGGCGTTGTAGGGAGTTTATGGAGAGCCAGTGAGCAGGGATTTGATGACCCAGGTGCGGGTAGTGTTTGTCCATAGACTGCAGTTAATGTGTCCACGTCGTATCAATGACCTCTCGATCTAAGGTCGCTGTGTATTCTGTCATGTGCTGTACTTTGGTTAGTTATAAAAAATCACTTAATACCAATACTAGTTTGAATGCAACATATCTTCAGGGGATATAGGCCTATGCTTGAATGATTCACTTCTCATAGCTGCATTGGTGCATTTTATATCATGTTGCCTCAAAACTAATAGGGAAGGTAGTCGAGGACGTAGACCACTGCGCTAATGGTCACATTGTATGTGGTGTTGACATCAACAAGCTCTCGTTGTAGCTCATTGTACTTGTTCAATACTCTTACATTGAACAGATGTCTCCTTAAGTCTATACGGCTCATTTGGGTGTTTACTTCCTGGCTATGACATTTATTTATGACTGTGTCAATTCAATTTCTTTCTTTATTATGCGCCCCATACCCATCCCGAGGGCGGTGGTGGAAAGGGTTATAGAGGCATACAATGGGCTCAGGGACTGAACCTCATAGTTCGTTTAGCTAAGCAAGTGACAATCTTTTGAAGCTAGTTACACACAATTGTTAAAGGGCTGGGGGGATCGGGCTCCGATACATAAAAACCCTATATATATACATACACATATATATATATATATATATATATATATATATATATATATATATATATATATATATATATATATATATATATATATATATCATAGTTACACAATTCAAGGCCCGATACATATTAATATATTTACATAATTTTTTTCATCAACCCTTAATCTTTTTATATCAAGTGATTCAACAAGAGATTCACAACAGTCACTATACAAGGCACTTTACATCTATGATGAGTCACACATTGATGTTTGGATACAAAACTCGTATGATCTGCTTTTTACGAACCACCTTTTAATCAGTCTCTCTAATACTTTATTGAAGATATGTGGTAGTTATACCAGACTAATATAGTTATACCAGACTAGGGATCCTATATTTCTCTTGTCATATATAAAGGCACACACGCTGTTTTTAAAATCTCAAATGTGTGTGTGTATATTTACTATTTGTGTTTACTATGTGTGCTTGCACTAGCTCTTGGACCCCACCTTTCTAGTCGTCAGTTGTCTAATGTATCAACTCCCGACTGATTTTTCCACTTATCAGGTCTACTACATATTCCCAAAACTGAAAACGGAACAGTATGTCAATTTCGCGAGCCGCTACTAATTTATAATACGACAATTTTTGGCCTTTAGTACAACAGTTTCCTGACGTTGGGAAATCTTAGGAGGACGGGTTGTGCATGCTATGCACACACTGAGGGGGTGAGAATCCAGACATCATTGGCATCAAACTTGGGACGAGAAGACATGAGTGAATGGGAATTCTATCTTCCAGGACGCCATGCACCATTCACAAAGGACAGAGCAACAAGAGCAGGTGGTGTAATGCTGTATGCAATAGAGAACTTGAATGTACCAGACAATGGGGAATTAAACAACGTGAGATCCTCAGAATTTGTATGGTGCAATATACTATTTGAAATTGGTAGCCTACTGCCAGTGGGAGTATGCTAGAGAGAGGACACGGCAACAGCACAAAGTAACTGATCTGCGTAATGTGACCAGTGCAGCAGCTGAAACCCAAGCCCTTAAAACTGTGGGACTTTTAATCGCGAGACAAAAGATTGAGCGAATCTAAACTCACGAGCAGAAGGAGAACAATTTCTTGAACGGGTACAGAACACCTTTTTCATACAGCATGTGACTGAGCCTACCTGAGAGGACAGCATTCTAGATCTTATACCACCATGAGAAGAGGACACGAGAGATCAAATACAAGTAGGGGAGAAGCTCGCTCCTTCCTGTGTTCACAATATTTTAAAAAGGACTATAGAAACCCATCTATTTTATAGATGTATATGGGTTCTATAGTTATAGAAACCCCTGTAAACGTCCCAGATGATAACTTTCTAGACCACCCTCGAGCAGATTCTCAAGAAATATGAGAGGAATAACAAAACACCTTCTGGAGGGAGTTAATAGATCAAATATGGAAGTATCATGGGGGGAAACGTCAAAAAGGTCATCATTGAACTTGTTCAAAAATATGTGCCAAGAAAGAGTGACAAGATGGGTGACACAGACAGTAAAAAGAGTTGTAATAACAAAGCGAAACCTCAGGAGCAGGTAGGTATCAATCCACAATGAACAACATAGATTGTGACATATACAGAAGGGCCTCAAAATCAGCCACCCGAAAAATCACATCAGCCAAAAGAAACTATGAAAGAAAACTTGCTCGAAATATAAAGAAGGATCCCAAGTCGTTCTGTGCCTGTATAAGAAGTAAACCCAAAATAAAAGACTTGGTAGGACCCATAAAAGATGAGACCAACCAAGTTATAATTGACGATAAAAGGACAGCAAACACTCTGAATGAATACTTTATATCAGTGCTCACACGAGAGATTTTAGACAACATTAGAAAAATAGGGCAAGAAATACAGGTGAAGAGACTGAATTAAGGGATATCCCCATAACATGCTATATAATCAGGAAAAGCAGTGACAGACAAAGGTTAAACATTCCCAAGTGTGGACGGAATTCAATCCACAGTTGTTGAGGAACAAGCGGCTGAACTGTGTCAATCATTGAAGCTCCCTTTCAGAAAATATCTGAACCAACAAATAGTTTCCTACACTGGAAATATGTAAATATTATCCCTTATTTAAAAAAAAAAGCAGAAAGAGATCAGCTGAAAACTCAGCTCATTGAGAGAATCCTAAGGGAGGGAATCATTCATAATCTCACAGTAAACAATCTAATCAAATCAACGTAACATAGTTTTCGTAAAAATAAATCCTGCTTTTCAAACTTGCTACATTTTTGGAAACGGCAACCAGTTATTCAAACAAAGGACTCCCAGTAGATGCAGTATACGCAAACTTTGGTAAAGCTTTTGATAAAATACCACATGAGAGACTGACAAGGAAATTACAAGCACACAGAATAAATAGTACAATACTAGAATGGATTAAACAATGGTTAAAGTATAAGTCTAGTATCAATTTTGTTTTTATTTATGTTATGTATCTTTACCCTCCAGCATGGACTCCATGGTGGTACTGAGGGGTGAGGGGGGTCATCCTAAGTTGGACTAGGCATGAGTATTTCAAATTAAACAGAGAGTCAGCATAAATGAGTTAAGTCCGAGAGGGTTACTTAATTATTGACCTAAGGAGTGCCGTAGGCCACTGTCCTGGGACTTCTCTTATTTACCATATATATATAATCGATTTAAACAGGATTGAACAGCAACAGTTGCAAATTGAAGAAGATACTAAAATAGGATGGGAAATATATTTAGAAGACACAAAATCGCTACAAGACTATTTAACAACCTGCCCTCAGGGAAGAGATTCCCCTGGAGGTAATGGATTTAAAGCCACTCAAACTAGTGCTATTATATACTCTCTATCCATGGTTGGGTTAGGTTAAGATTTGGTAAGGTTAGGTTAGGTTTCATTGTGTTTGATTACCATGATATGGTGTATTATTGACGAAAATGTGAAATATAGAATTCGAAAACTATTTGAGTGTACCCGAGAATTAGTTTACATAAAACCAAATTCACCAGATTTTCAAAGAAAATGTTTTCAGCATATACTTTTTACATTTAAACAAATGATTCGTAATACAATAAAGTTATAACTTGAGACCATTCTGTTTAGGACAAAAGGTCCACTTGCCAGTTTACAAGTAGAATATTATTGTAACCTTAATATGCTTTCAGATCACAAATAACTAGGTAACTATCCAGGTGGTTTGACATGGGGGTTTGATCTCTCGTGGTATTGAATATGCTCTGAGAACGGACTGTGATTTAGATAGGCTTTCAAAATGGATTCTGAGCTTAGGTAAAAATAAGAGACGAAGAGACAGACCCAAATATCAGGTGGACAATGTTGAAATTGCGAAATCTAATTTCTAGCAGTACCTTTAATTCCTTTAGATCTTAGGCCCCCCACAAAAATGTATAAATGTACAGAATAAGGCAGTAAGTCATTTTACTTTCTAATATATTTCACAAAAACTATAAATATAAATTTGTCATATGCATTTACATCTCTATGGCAATTTATCCGAATTATAATGTTCATTGTTAAAATAAACATAGGCTTCATTTATTTTGAAATAAGTGAGATTTTCAGAATTAATATAATCCCTTTAATTAGAATTATGATAAATTTTCTTTTTTAGAAATATGAGGAGCCCTCGTTTTAAAATTATGTTAAATGTTCTTTTAAAAATTATGTTAGGATTTTATTTTTTTTAGAATTTTCAGTTTTTTCCTAAAATTACAGTATATCTTGAGGTTATCTTGAGATGATTTCGGGGCTTTTTAGTGTCCCCGCGGCCCGGTCCTCGACCAGGCCTCCACCCCCAGGAAGCAGCCCGTGACAGCTGACTAACATCCAGGTACCTATTTCACTGCTAGATAACAGGGGCATAGGGTGAAAGAAACTCTGCCCAATGTTTCTCGCCGGCGCCTGGGATCGAACCCAGGATCACAAGTCCAGCGTGCTGTCCGCTCGGCCGACCGGCTATAACATGTCCATGCTAAAACTAAATGTGTTCATGTAAATGCTAAAACGTGTTCATGTACCTGCTATAACATGATTCTAAATGTTAGAATCATGTTCTAAAACTAAATGTGTTCATGTAAATGTTCTAAAACTAAAATGAATTCAAATGTGTGATTATGTTGCAGTACCGGGGTGTGGAGGGTCCCAGATGGAGGCGAGGTTTGACAGCGACGAGGAGTTGATCACCGCCTGTCGAACTGAGATTGGTGAATGGTTCTTAATGTGGTTTAACATTGAGAATATTATTCCTTACTACATCGATTGCGTCGTAAGTTACATTTTTATATTGCATGCTTTTGAAATTCAGTTACGAATTGGTGTTTACACAAATATTTAGTTTTTGAATATCAACCACCACAAGATAGAGTTCGGGAAGGTCAGGGCGACCTTAGCCATATTTATTTAGTGTACATGCATGATTTTACTATTTGCAGATTGACGGCATGAAATTACAATATGACAATGTGACGCGCACTACCAGAAATGCCCCAGGCGTGGAGACCAGAATCCCTGGTTTTGGAAACACATCAACAGTGGAGTGGCTAAGCAAAGACCATCCTTACGTCCTGAGTTACTTCCACGATATAGTCAGCAGTCTCATTCCCCTTGGCTACGAGCGGGGTGTTTCCGTCAGGGGAGCTCCTTATGATTTCCGCAAGGCCCCAAGTAAGCTATTACGAAGCATTCAACACTTAGGGTGTACAAGTATGCAAGAATTAAGTGTGTAACATTGGGACTGAGACTCCTGGTTCAATGTTGTTTTTGTTTTAGATTCAGCTACTCAGAACAAAAGTTCCAAGTAGCACTGGCTGTGGTGAGCCCGTAGTGGACTTACCTGGGACTCCCTGTAACTCCTGTAACTTCCCCTGGTTCAAGCTTGACTAGCGAACGTCTAGAGTCTAGACAAGTGTTTTGCCTGGAGGCCGCCGAAACACGGTGACGCGAGTTTGACCGCTGGCTTTTAAAAATTTTGCCCAGTGGGGCGAGTTTATTGGGCAGCGTCACTCATCCTGTGAGTGGACACACAGCTATAGTGACAGTATTGGGCGGCGCCACTCATCCTGTGAGTGAACATACCGCCATAGTAGCATGTACAACACTCCCCAATAGGAAAAAAGGCCGCTGGGTTGTTCATCCTGTCACTTGTACCCAGACACAGCTGGGACTTGCTTAACTGTCTCCAGTGAACAGCTCCTCAAACAAGAAGATTAACATCTGTCAACCCTTAAAATCTTACGTTATCTTGCGGGTGCAAAATAGGGGAATCTTTTAAGAACAGTATCAATATTTGACAAATAGTGTTTTCCTAACTCAAACAATGTGGGGTTTATTATTCTGCACATATGTCTAATGTCTCTCAGGTGTTCACATTCTCTCAGGTGGTGGTCAAGGCGGTGTCCGCCACTCTCATCACTGCAACTCCTCTGCTCAACTGTTGTTTCCATTCCGAATCTCCATGGATATTTGTATCCAAGACAAATTCTTGCTATTACTGATTCTCTCCCGCGGCCACCTCCTCTTCGTTCATAATGATTGGGATTGCCAGCTGCAACCACATTGTACGAGCGTACAGATTCACTGATTTGTTCTTCTGTCCTCCTTTCCTCAGTAACCTTGTCACGGTGATGTTGCCTGATGATACCTCTAATTTGTAGAGGAGTCTTGGGTATGAAGTATTCAATATGGTCTCCTTCAGCGCCTTCAGCAGCCAGCACATCAGCTCGTTCATTTTCACAGATTCCAACATGGGAGGGGATCCGCAGAAATTAGAAATTTGACGATTCTTCCTTGATTGGTTAATACTCTCACCGCTCTCTTGATCTCAGCGACTATCGCAAGATTTTCTGCCCGATTTTTAGTTAGGCTTTGTAGCGCTGCTTTAGAATCAGTGCACCGTTAATGCTTCGTTCAAGGAATCTTAACGCCGTAACAATGACGGTTAGCTCCGCATGTGTTGAAGAGGCATAGTTCTCAATATGGGTCTTTATACTGCTGGCAAGCATTCTATTTCGACGGCCACGATTGATATAACGCCTGGCGCAATTATCACAAGGACGTTGATAGATTATTCCATTTTCCGGTTCGATCTTCAGCGGAGCGGATGGTATTCGGTGGCGGCTTGGTTTAGAGGTTCCGGGAGTTGGTGGATCACATCCAGCTGTCCCCTAAGGGTATGATGGGCATCTGGCTATAACTGTGGAGGTCACTAGAAGACGTCTCTTGCCTTTATACCCGACTGGGCTAGAATTTTAGCACGGTCCATCTTGTCCGTCGGGGGTTACTGGATATCGATAGTCTTCCAGCTGATTGTATGCTGGGGGGGGGGGGGGGGGGGGGGTGAGTCCGTCGCTCGCCTACCTAGAGGACGCTAGAGGTCGCTAAACACTTGCCTAGCAGTGTGTTTTTCTGTCGCAAGCTCTGTAGTTTCCGGCGAGAGGCGGCGTGTAGCCCTCGAGACGCTGTCTCCAGCGCGTGCGCCGCCGTGGTCCTTAAATTAACACATAATAACTGTTAATTTGATGTGTTTTCTTTCACTAAGAAAGGAAGATAACTGGGCATGTGGTATACCATCTTGGTACAGGAAGATAACTGGGCATGTGGTATACCATCTTGGTACAGGAAGATAACTGGGCATGTGGTATACCATGTTGGTACAGGAAGATAACTGGGCATGTGGTATACCATCTTGGTACAGGAAGATAACTGGGCATGTGGTATACCATCTTGGTACAGGAAGATAACTGGGCATGTAGTGTTCCGTGTTGAGACAGGAAGATAACTGTACAGGATCATGCTTAGCTTACCTAATATTTATTCTCATGCTAAAAGGGAGCACAGTATTTATAGGATAATTGTGAACTTCTATAACAGAAGGAGCAGAAACTTGGTAGATACTTTCCTTCGAGAGAACATTCAAGTCCAAGATTGTATATAAATTTGTAATTTTACCAACGGCTTCTGTTAATTTTTGTGTTACGACAAATAAGGACCGAGAAAATCTAGGAATCTAGGCCGTATGAAACACTTTTCCTCAATTCCCTCAAATTTTTGCTTAGTGTTGTGGAAGGAAAATTATAACCCTATCACATATCTCTGAAACATTCTTGACCACATAATTGCTTACCGGTCGACCCTTCAAAAGAGATCAATAACTCACTGGTTGTGGTCATTACAGACGAGATGGGTGAGTATTTCTGGGACCTGGAGCAACTGATCGAGACGACATACGCGAGCACGGAGCAGAAGGTGGTGCTGGTGGCCCACAGCATGGGGGCGCCCTTGATCCACTACTTCCTCAACCACAAGTCTCAACACTGGAAGGACAAGCACATTGAAGCGCTGGTCACCCTCGCTGGTACTTGGGGGGGCTCTGTCAAGGCCGTGAATGTATATGCTACAGGTTTGTCTATTATTCACTCTATATTATTACACAATTTTGTGTTATTCGTCGTTGCTACATAGCCTTCCCGGCTTGGTGCCGCCTTTTGATAATTACTTACTTTTACACGTCGTTAGTCACTGTGAAGTTTGCAAGCTCTAACTGCACTTTTGTGTACAGTTATCTATAACAATGAAGATATTTGATACTGTACAGAACTGTCTCTCCAGACTCCCATTTACAAGGTTTTTGAACTGAAATGACAGTATTATTATACCACTATTATTATTACATCAAGAAATCATGTTAACGTAATCTATCAATGAGGAAATCAGTAGAAACCATGAGGAGGATTCGAACCTGCACGCTGGGTACTCCCAAGCACACGCTACACCACCACATGGACAAAAATAAAGCATCAACACGGTATCTTCCTGTACCGTGTTTATACAGGAAGATAGCTGGGCATGTGGTGTACCGTCCTGGTACAGGAGGATACCTTGACACATGGTGTACCGTCCTGGTACAAGAATATAGCTGGGCATGTGGTGTACCGTGCTGGTACAGGAGGATAGCTTGACACATGGTGTACCGTCCTGGTACAGGAAGATAGCTGGGCATGTGGTGTACCGTCCTGGTACAGGAAGATAGCTGGGCATGTGGTGTACCGTCCTGGTACAGGAAGATAGCTGGGCATGTGGTGTACCGTCCTGGTACAGGAAGATAGCTGGGCATGTGGTGTACCGTCCTGGTACAGGAGGATACCTTGACACATGATGTACCGTCCTGGTACAAGAAGAGATCCGTACATTCGTTGTGTACTATGCTAGTAGACAAATTTAAATCTCTAGAAAGTAGATGTATGATAGAATAAATAAACTGTAGAATATGCTAAAACACCTTTCTATGTTTTATTTTGCAGGAGACAACTTGGGAATACCTTTCCTAAGCTCCAAGACAGCTAGGAGAGAACAGGTGACCTTAGCAAGCTTGGCGTTCCTCCTGCCCTCACCTGAGCTCTGGGGCCCTGACGAGGTCCTCATCCAGACTCCTGACGATAATTTCACAACCTCAAACTTCAAGGAGATGTTTGAGTTAGTACTTGAGTTGTTCGAAGTACTGCATATTTAAACTTTTCTATTTTTCGAATGGGTAACTCATTTGGACGTGTTTCTTGTGAAAGTTTTAATTTAAGGCAAATCAAACAGGAGGTAGAATGACAATTTATCTATGACATTAGATATTAAACTAATTTGGATACCCTTAGATATTTGGTATTAATATCTAAATACCATTAGATATTTGGTATTAATATCTAAATACCATTAGATATTTGGTATTAATATCTAAATACCATTTGATATTTGGTATAAATATCTAAATACCATTAGATATTTGGTATTAAACTAATTTTAAGATGTGAAAATATGAATAATATCATCTTGTGCCTGGGATTTGAGAGCACGTAGCGACCGGTAAAATATTAAGATCTTTGTAGACGGTATGTAAGGTTAGATTAAGGAACCAGAACAGCGAAAAAACAAACCATTTTATATTCAGTACCGCAGGGCAATGCAAGACAATTGTCGGATGAAAGCTCTAAACCATTCACACCTGAACCCATTCACCTGAACTATCGGGGTATCGAACACGACCTGCAAGAAGCGAGTACGACGCTGTACCGACCAGGGTTCTTCCCTTCTCCTAGGCAGGGCAGGAAACCTTATGAAGGGATCTGTCCTCCCTGGAGACAGGGGCAGTCTTACGAAGGGTTCCTCTCTCTCTCCTGGTGCATTTCAAACTGTCTTTGCTCCAGACTGGCCAGCTATTGCGAGTAGACTGTTCCAGACTGGCCAGCTATGGCGAGTAGACTGTTCCAGACTGGCCAGCTATGACGGGTAGACTGTTCCAGACTGGCCAGCTTTGGCGAGTAGGCTGTTCCAGACTGGCCAGCTATGGCGAGGAGGCTGTTCCAGACTGGCCAGCTATGGCGAATAGACTGTTCCAGACTGGCCAGCTATGACGAGTAGACTGTTCCAGACTGGCCAGCTATGGCGATTAGACTGTTCCAGACTGGCCAGCTTTGACGAGTAGGCTGTTCCAGACTGGACAGCTCCAGCAGATTGACTGTTCCATGGGACTGTTCCATGGGTTCATCACTCACGTTGGAAAAGTCTTTCCTGTTGGCCAATTTTCACTGTGAGCTGACAATCTTAATGCTGCTGCCTGGCATTAGACTTAGAATATGTTGTTGGGGTATGCGTTGTTTATAAATAATAAATAAATAATTTATAAAATAAAATAAAATAAAATAAATAAATAATAAATATTTTTAGCATCTCTCAAAGCTCAATCTTCACGTGCATTTTTTGAGGGACATCTAAATCGTTCCTGGTAAATTGACTAAATAAATATTCTTATGATTTTCGTTGTAATGAGTTTCGTTGAAGTGATTTTACGTTGAAATAAGTTTCGTTGAAGTGGATTTTCGCTATAATTATTTTCATTGTAATGGTTTTAATTAAAGTTTACTTATTAATATATAATGCTTTAGGTGATTGCATAATATTCATTGAAATTGCAAAATTTTTATATTCGTTTTTTCTAGGGCAATGGAATTACCAGATGCGTATGAAATGTACCTGGACACGAAGGGGTTGCTGCACAACGCGCCTGCTCCAGGAGTGGAGATTCATTGCATACACGGTGAAGGAATCCCTACAGTGGAAAAGTAGGTGTTTTTGGTTGGAATTTGTGCTTTAAACTTATCAACCTCTTGAGGGTTATTGAAACTACCAAAATAGCTTGCTAAGACCTATCACTCTGGAGGATTGTTCAACTTACCGGGTTACCTGGAACTTGCCACAATATTACCGACTAAGCGAGAAGTTCGGTGTTGGGCTTAAGCCCTATCAACCTCCCGAGGGTTATTAAAGCCTCTACAATACCTTACTGACCAACCAATAAGAATATTTTAATCCAGAACATAGTCCAGGCCTTAAGTCAACTCTCAGTATATATATATATATATATATATATATATATATATATATATATATATTTTGCAGCTTCAGTGTTTCACTGATTTGTGTGATCCAATTAAATTATATTTACTTGACACAGCATTTAATTTGATGGTTAATGTGATACTACTTTCCCATAGGATGGTTTACCACGCCGATAGATTCCCGGATTATCCCCACATCGTCTTTGGTGACGGGGACGGCACTGTCAACGCTCGCAGTATGCGCCACTGTCTTAAAGTAAGTTACTTGCTGACTGTCATTAGTGTCAACGCTCGCAGTACCCGCTACTATAAGCGTTTCTGGTAGGTCCTTAATTCTAATTCTCCCCGGAATACGACCCGCCAAATCGTTTAAGAACCAGGTACCCATTCACTTGCTGGGTGAATAGAGGCTACAGTTAAGGATTGGCGCCCTGTCAATCCTCCCTAGCCAGAATACGAACCCAGGCCAATGCGCTCGCTACGCGCCGGACGAGTGCATTACCACTGCGCTACGGGGCAGATTGACTATGTCATTAGTGGCAAGCTCCCAGTACCCACTACTTTAATAAAGTTACTTGCTGACTATGTCACATACACAGCCTCGCTCCTGTGCCAGGTGAGTCCACTACGGGCTCACCATAGCCCGTGCTATTTGGCACTTTTGTTCTGAGTAGCTGAATCTAAAACAACAACTATGTCATTGTCCCCCAAAAATGTGTACATATACTTTGGCCTTGTATCGAGGTTCCCCCAAGGTGGAACTACTGACCCTCCCCCCAGGATGTATCCCAACATCAGTTGCCTAACTCCCAGGTACTTATATTTACTGCTAAGTGAATCGAGAAATGAGGTGACAGGTAATGTGCCCAGCCATTTTTTTTGTCTCGCCCGGAAATCAAACCCAGGCTCCCCGATTGTGAGTCGAGAACGAAGCCAACTGTACTGCTCCTGTTGTTGTTATAGATTCAGCTACTCGGAACAAGTTCCAAGTAGCACGGGCTATGGTGAGCCCGTAATTACTGCTCCTGTTTTAAGGATATTTATTTCATCCAAGCTTTTAAAATACTGAACAAGTTGGAGGATGTTGGTCTAGACAACTTCTCCAAAAGGTCAGATGTAACAAACAAGGAACTCAACAAAGCCACAATGTAGGACTTGAGAACAAGCGATGCTTTTCGCCCACAGGGTTATAAATCCATGGAATCGCCTACCCGCGAAGCCGTAAAAGCCGAAACACTGTTGAATATTAAAGTACAGTTTGAAAAAGTAATTAGGACAAATTGGGAGGGTGACCCTTTAACAAGCCGCTGGCTTGCTGTCCTCGTCGAAGCCACTAGAGTGTTAGCGACTCTGATTTAGATTTAGATTTGGAGTTAGATTTTTTTATTCAGGTAAGGTACATACATTAAAGATGAATTACAAACATAATGTTCGATTTATAGATAGAGCAGTACATACAACACCTAAATCCACTAATACGCATAGCGTTTCGGGCAAGGTGAGGGGGGGGGGGGAACACTTTGACTAAAACTTAATAGTAATTGAGCTTAAAGTATAAATTGTGTTGAAAAAAGGAATTAAAAAGGAGTGGGAACATGGCAGAAAATAGCAATTATACAAGTTGATCAACAAACAGCATTGTTTAAAATAGTAAGACGTGGGTTGACATTTAGGGGTGAGGTAGGTTACAAGGAGTTTATTAGGTAGTACTTAGTTTGTATCTTCTTAAACTGGTTGAGAAAGGTACAGCCTTTGACATGATTGGGAAGGTCATTCCACATTCTGGGTCCCTCGAGTTGTAGAGCATTTCTAGTTCGATTAAGTCGTACTCTTAGAATATCAAATAGGTATTTGTTTCTGGTGTGGTGCCCATGGGTTTTGTTACAACATTCTAGGAAGCTTTTAAGGTCAGGATTGGCATTACAGTTCACAGTTCTTATTTTTCTTGATGGTACGTGCATTTTGCATGAAGGGTTTATCCACCCGATGGCTGCACGAGTATAAATGTTGGGAAAGGCGTTAATGTTGAGAATGAAGGTTTCAAGGTAAATTCAGGAAAAAACTTGAATAAACATTTAAAGAGGGATGCTTTGCAACAGTTAACCCTGAAATATCTCGTTTTCTATGACAAAGATTTCTGCTCACATTTTGGAAGGGTAACATATATATATTTTAGAAGATTAAAAATATATAATACACTGTTTTAAAATAGACCATAAATGCACACACAAAATGACAAGAACTCATTCGAATCTACATATGACCTCTTCGCTCATACTGCTTCATGTCCCAGTATATGAGCTTTGCAATCCTGGAGTAGATGGTGTCCCAACGAACACTATATAATATATTGGGGATCCTTAACGATCCCCAATGTAAACATTGAGGCCTACAGCTGATAAACTGGAAGCCAGCGTTTGGTCATAGGTTCCACTATTATTCCCGAGGATATTTTCCAACTGAATTTTGAACTGAAGTAAGGTCCTGACATTTACGGCTTCGGCGGGTAAGCGGTTCCACAGGTTTATAATTCTATAGAGGTGAAATGGCATCTCCTATTTTCTGTCCTATATGGTGGCTTGATGAGCTTGAAGCGGCTCTTCCTTGTATGTTACATTTGACCTTTTTAAAGAAATAGCTTGGTAGGGTACCAGAGGTCAGGGAGCACTTCTTAAGATATCACAACGTCACAAAAATGATGTACTAAATTGCCCGACCCTAACCTAACCGAGGACCCACCAAGAGGAAACTGACAACCCGTCAATTTTGCGATTTATTGTACATAAAAATATGATGTCGCTATGATTTAAAGTACATCATATTTCGGCCGTTATTTATATGTCAAAATGCGATGTTCGATTCGAGAGGACAGGTTTCTACACTGCCAATTAACACTGATGTTCCACAGGGTTGTATCCCGCCTCTCAGCTGTCTTGATTGACAGTTGAGAGGCGGGCCGAAAGAGCAAAGCTGAACCCCCGCAAACACAACTAGGTGAATACAATTAGGTGAATACTTGGTCCACTCCTCTCTTATCTCATATATTATTATAACGACGTGCTAAATCAATATTTTCTTAGTTTATGCATCATTCTATTCATTAAATATGTTTTACGAGCCCATTGTAACTCACGTGTCATCATTCTAAATGTCTTTGTCGCTGCTCAACATACTTTACGATACTTGTAAGATCCATATGTGTCTTACTGTGGAATTGTTGATATATAACAACCCGAAAAGAAAACTGCCCGAAACGCTATGCGTGTTAGTGGCTATGGAAGAATGTAAGAACATCAGTGTACTCTCACAACCCAGTGTTCCTTCTTATAAATAAATAAATAAAATAAAATAAAATAAATAAATAACACCATTCAGGTGTCTGCGGGAACATGAGAATTTAGCAGGCGCGGAAGTCGCTTTACTCCAAATGTAATTAATAAATCTAAATCTAACTCTTAAATGCGTGATATACGATATTCACCAACACAATGAAGAAGAAACTAGTCTGCCATTTTCATGAATGTCTTATAACGGTCCTGTAAAACTAATCTAATACGCATAATTTATCATTGTTTCAGTGGGTGAATGAGCAGGAGCAGAAAATTTATCACGTGCCGATGCCTAACATAGACCACATGGATATCATCAAGGTAGAACCCAGTCTCGGTTACCTCGTCAATTTACTCAGCACCATCACAAGAAGAAATGAGCAACGAGCTGGCGAGAAAATGGAGAATTTTATCCAAAGTGAGAAGAGAAAGGAGAGAGAATTCTTAATGAAATATCCAGGTTTAGGAGAGGCTACCCAAGCCGCGCGTGAACCAGTGGTAGACCAAACACACTGGGATAACACCTCTTTAGAAAGCGGGGATATTAATCAGATAAGAGTACAACTCGACGAAACTCCCTCAGTGGTGACTGGATTTTAAATATGGAAGAAGCAGTATAAAGACTGCCGTCTCCCACTGCAAGAGTCAACATTACATACCTGTAATTATTATAGATTATCACGTTTCACGGTATCTTACTTTTAAGCGTTTTATTATAGGTTCTAATGTATTTCCATGTGTATTTCATGTATTATTTCAATTTTATATATAAATGACTGTGTACGACAGTATAGGGTTTTTCATTTTACGTAGACAGAACTAATTAATGCTTTCTTGGAATGATATATATTAAGAGTATTGACTGAGGGAAATAATATTTAAAAAATATTCGACGCTTTTTACATGTGTCATCGCTCGCGAGTTTCTTTTTCTTGAATATTATGAACGTTTTACTCTTCTCAAGGCACAAATCACTGTTAATAATAGCTCTCCTAGTAATAGCAGGTCAGTATAGGCCAATTGAAACATATGTCTCTTCCCATTGGCCACTGTTAATTACTCCCACTCAATATTGCTGGGTCAGTTGGCCAACTAGAATGTATGTGCCTTGTCATTTTTACTGTTAACCCTTGGACTGCGCAAATCTAAACAACTTTAAACAATTAGAATTGGTATTCCTATTTTTTCTAAATGTAAGTTAAAATTAGCTAACCATTTTATTTTGTAATGCATACATTTCCTTGGATGTGTAGAATTTCATTAAATGAGAACATTGTTAGCTGTTTTCAAATCTTTAAACAGCTCTTATTTTTTAATTATCTTTTATTGCAACATTTATGTGAAAACGCTCATAATATGGATGGCAAGACAAACAAAAATAATCTCAGTATTTTGCAGAAATAGTTTTTGACATGATGATGCCACATGCCTTAAAGTTATTTTAACTAACAACTTTTGTGATTAATAACAAGACTTATCGTTTACTAAGTAATAACAGCCAGAAAAATGTCACATTTTGGCAATTATGAGGATTTATAAGCAGAGCTAAATTTTCACAGTTTTCAGTTTTTGTGAAAAATTATTAATAAATTCAGACCGTTTGTCAGAGATATAACAACCCTCCCATTTGGCGGGTCAGTACTTTGGTGCATCCGTCGACTACATTATATATTGTTTACTTGCGTTCATTCATATGGTATAGCTTTTTCACTTAATTTGTTCTTACAATGTGTGTGTATATATATATATATATATATATATATATATATATATATATATATATATATATATATATATATATATATATATATATATATATATATATATATATATATATATTATATGTGTGTGTGTGTGTGTGTCACGAAAATTAACACGTGATGAAGAATGTGACAGTGTCAGACCACGAAAGAAAAATTGAAACAGGAATTTCCCTAAGTACTTTTTTTAAAAGAAAATTCCTGTTTCAATTTTTCCTTCGTGGTCTGACAGTGTCATATATATTTATATATTTATATATGTCATACTTAATAGCCAGAACACACTACTTGGCCTAGTATGCAAGGCTCAATTTGCCTAACAGGCAGGTAATTTTTGTTATTTTTAAATATTTCCTTTCAAATTGTTTATTTGAATTAATATTATTATATTAATAAACAATTTGAAAATAAATATTGTGACTTAGTGGCAGTGACTTTGTTATGTTAAGGTTAGCATAGGGTAAGTTAGGTTTAATCTAATTTCTGTTAATTTTAACTTAAATTTTAAAATAATTTAAATCATTTATAATATTTTAGCTGAAAGCTTTATCATTCCATAACAAAAAAATGTTAAATATATATTATTTCAAGAAAACTCGGCTTGTTAGGCAACTTGGCCTATTAGGTACAACATATATTTAGTGTATATATATATATATAAATATGTATGTTATATAGTCATACTTAATAGCCAGAACGCACTACTTGGCCTAGTATGCAAGGCTCAATTTGCTTAACAGGCAAGTGATTTTTGTTATTTAAAAAATATACAGTATATATATATATATATATATATATATATATATATATATATATATATATATATATATATATATATATATATATATATATATATATATATATATATATAAATGATGGCACAATGGGTAACACTGTGCCGGCATCTCCTGCACTGTTGTAAGCGTTGACTTGAATCTTTTTACATTTGGGACTCAAATAATGAATTCATTTTTTTAATACGCTACTTAGGTATTCTCTCTTTATATATTGAATTTGTCCGTTTCTTTTATGGGTGTCACACATTATGGTCCAACTCTGTGATCAGCTACTTGGGAATAATAAAGATGTGGCTGGTATACAATTATGTATCACGTTCAATTATACGACTTTTACAGCGATGCCTTTCATTAGTTCCTTTGTGTAACTGATTCACGTCTGTATGATTTGACAACTTTATTATTGTTGTTGCTTTGTGGTCGATAGCTTCCCATCGAGCAAAATTTGCGTGCGAAACGTTAAATTTGCATAAGATAGTATTTATCAATGTTTATTGTTTATTCAATATCATATCAACGTTGTTTGCCTCAATGGAAGAAGTGGACATTGTGAGGAATCACAGCAATGACATACAAATTACCATGCACGGCCAATAGCGTTTAAAATTCATCATGGACAGAAGCACAGTTCAATCTTCTTTTTTTCGAGAGAGATGTGTGTGTGTGTAGCCAAACTTACAACGTACGTACACACGAACATGTACACTAGCATGTTTATATCCTCAGCAGTCTGATCTTGTGACTGGACAATTCAATAACCTAAGCAACCCACCTAACCCATCGAGGTCCATGCTCATTTATCCAAAGAAGCGTCACGGGATAAGGTGTATTAAGTGTGAGGACAGGATGTACTAGCCTAACACGCACACTCCCAAGCACTAATAATGTACGCAGTTAGGCTCTGGTGCAAAGACTTATCAGACAGTACCGCCATGCCTCTACTATACGTCCTTCCCTTGACCCACATACAGTGCCGGGTCTTGCTAAATTTGTTTCTTTAGATGTCTCTCAAAATTTGTTAAGATAAATACATTAGCGATGGAGAATGTGATTTTGCATTTGTTAATATCCTTATTTCATCCAGTCCTCAGACCAGGCTCGTTAAAGCTGCGGCCGTCCTCCAACATGAATCATCAATTTTAACGTACTGTGTATTAAAAATTTGTTTCTTATGTATATATTAGTATTATTATATATTAAAGTTCAATGTATACTTAAGCGTAGGTTAAGTTAGGTGTTTCGGATCGATTGGCGATTATTTGTATTTGAAGTACATGGGTGAAATTAAGCATTTACTAAATTGCGATTCGAACAGAGGTCGTCAGCGAAGCACTGCTCAACAAACGAACATACGTCATCAGTGGTGAGTCGTATGTAAACAGTTTTTCATTCACAAACATGGGGGGGGGGGTGGTGGCGGTTAAATTAACGAGCGTTTCGCCTTTGTTGATGAGGACATAGTGCTTAATCTGATTATGATCGAAACTATGGATCGGAGCGTGGTTCATTCCACTCCAAGTATATTCTGCCGTCAGTCCTCATTAACAAAGGCCAAATGCTGGTTAATGGGTACCAAGTGGTGCCCGGGTCTCTCTCTCTCCCAATTCATTCTTCCTCTCATAACATCACGAATAACACTATAAGAACATGATACATAGTTGGTTTATTAACGATGATCTCCAGACAGTACCTTTGGCAGGCACGGTGGCTGGGGTGCACATCATGTAACCACATGCACCATCCCCAGGGTGGAGTCCCGCTCTGCGCAATAAGAGTCTGAAGCACTGCGCAACAGGCGTCTGGGGCACTGTGGCGTCTAAGGCATTGCGCAACATGTAGAAAACATAATTCTGAATATTCTCAAGGAGGGGTAACTATGTTTTTTGTTAATTATATTTAACGAGAAGTAGAAAAATGATGCGTGAATTGCAGAGAGAGAGAGAGAGAGAGAGAGAGACCACCAGGCTGGCAAGCAGTATGTGCTTTCATTCGTACTACTGCATATAATCAGCGTCTGTACACACACACACACACACATACAACCACAGCTATCAGGGGGCCTGATAGCTGAGTGGACAGCGCTCTGGACTCGTAATCCTAGAGCCTGGGTTCGATCTCCGGTGATGGCAGAAACAAAAGGGGCAGAGTTTCTTTCACCCTGATGTCCCTGTTACCTAGCAGTAAATAGGTACCTGGGAGTTAGACAGCTGTTAAGGGCTGCTTTCTGGGGATGTGTGTGTGGATAAAAAAAATAGTAGTTAGTAACAGCTGATTGATTGACAGTTGAGAGGCGGGCCGAAAGAGCAGAGCTCAACCCCCGCAAGCACAACTAGGTGAATACATACACCGGACTGCATAGATGGTCAGAGAAATGGCTACTGGAGTTTAACACGAGCAAGTGTAAAGTTTTGGAAATGGGACTAGCTGACAAGAGACCAAAGGGACAGTACACAATGAAGGGAACCTACCTAACAGTGACGATTCGAGAAAGGGACCTGGGAGTGAACGTAACACCAAATCTAACTCCTGAGGCAAATATAAATCGGAAATCGACAGCAGCGTACCCTCCGCTAGCAAAAATTAGAACGTCATTCAGAAACCTAAATAAGGAGGCCTTCAGAGCGCTTTACACTGTCTACGAGAGACCAATCTTAGAGTATGCAGCCCCAGCATGGAGCCCCCACCTAAAGAAACCCATTAGGAAACTGGAAAATGTTCAGAAATTTGCGATGAGGCTCGTCCCGGAGTTGCAAGGGATGGGACATGAAAGCGACTGAAGGAACTGAGCCTGACGACGTTAGAAAAAGGGAAGGAGTGGTGAGATATGACAGCAGTATACAAAATATTTAGTGGAATTGACAGAATGGAAATAGACGAAATGTTCACACGGAATACCAACAGAATAAGGGGACATGGGTGGAAGATGGAAACTCAGATGAGTCATAGAGATGTTAGAACGTTTTCTTTTAACATGAGAGTAGTGGGAAAATGGAATGAACTAAAGGAGCAGGTTGAGGAAGCAAACACTATTCATAGCTTTAAAACTAGGTATGACAGAGAAGTAGGACCGGAGTCATTGCTTTAAACAACCGAAGGCTAGCAATGCGGAATTCAAGAGCACAATACTCGATCCTGCAGACACAAATAAGTGAGTACAAGTGGGTGAGTACACACACACACACTTAGAACCCTAAGTCAGTGTTCTTTGAAGGCAATCTACACAACAATCTTTAGACCAATATTAACATATTCACCACCGGTTTGGAATTTACACCTTGTGAAATTAAAACCAAACTGAAAAAGAGCCAGAGCTGAAAGGATTAACCTATGAAGATAGGTTAAGGGAACAAGACCTCACAACCTTGGATGAGAGAAGAAACAGAGTGAACATGATTGCAACATATAAGATACTAAGGGTAATTGACAAGGTGGACAAGGACAGCCTCATGACAGTGAGAGAAAGTAGGACAAGAGGACACAACTGGAAACACAAATGTGTGGAAGAACCCGCGCCTCACGACCAATTTGACCTGGATTCGAGTCGTGACCAGGGAGGCTTGTCTGGTCGCCAATCCTTAACTGTTCACCTCTCTTCTCCCAGCAATAATTGCGTACCTGGTTGTTAATCGGTCGGCGGGTCGTGTTCCAGAGAAAGTAGTGAGGTATAAGGCTTACCATGAGCTATGGGGAGGGAAAGCTCTCAGTATAACAGCAGGAGTCATAAGTCGTCTATTGCTGTACCACTTCTCTGTTAAAAGAAAAAAGTACTGGAGAAAGTGTTAAGCTAGTACGACTATATAGCACTGGAAGGGATATGAGGACAAGGAGGTGAGATATAAAGACAAGAAGCTGGGATATGAGGTCATGGAGCTAGGATATGAGGTCAAGGAGCCGAGGGAGGACTGGTTGTGGGGAACCGGTGCCCAAGCACCTGGAACATTGGGGATCGAACGCCGACCTGCAAAAAACGAGGCTGCCGCTGTAAACGGCGAAATAAAAATTGAAACAGTAACACTACACCTAATCTGCCCTAGGCCTAAATAAACAATCCTAGGCCTAACACGCAATCGTATTACTAATTTACAAATATGTACAAAACGTCAACTTTCTTAGCGGGAACATTCCATACTTTATACTTCTGTCCAAAGTAACTATAGATACTATCATTTTTGGTGGACAAATTATTAATCCAGACCACTTCTTCAACAGGTCAGATGTAACGCATATATTTACCTGAGAACCACTAACACTAATGGCCTCGACGAGGACAGGAAGCCGGCGTCTTATCGAAGGTCCCCCCTTTACCTTGAACTTGATAATCTTTTCCAACTGTACATTAAAAGTTAACAGAGTTTTGGCATTTACGGCTTCGGCGGGTAGGCGGTTCCAAGGGTTTATAACCGTGTGGATGGAAAAAGCATCTCCTGTTCTCAGTCCTACATTACATTATAATACAAGAAGCGCAACAGGTTCAAACTCTACGGGCTACTCATGCCCATGCCACTTCTTGGGTAGCTTAATCCCCATCAATCAGGTTCAGACTCCTTTAAACCACAATTCAAGTTCAAGTATGTTTATTGAGACAAGAAAGAAATACATCTCAAAGGGATAGAGTAGCTTAGGCTATTTCTACCCCCTTAAAAAAACACAATTATGTAGGATAGAAAATAGATGCTGTTCTACTCATAAATTAAAGCACACCCATGGAACCGCCTACCCGCTGGAGCCATAAATGCCAACACATTACTAGAGTTCAAAATCCAGTAAGAAACAAATCCTCAGAAACAATTGGGGACCTTTGACAAGCCACCGGCTTCCTGTCCTCGACGAGGCCAATTGAGTGTTAGTGGCCCCTCAGGTAAATTCAGGTAGAGGTATGGATGACCACATTGGTCTAGATGACCTTGTCGACCTATAAGGGCTACGTACCTACTCTAGATAAGCCTCTCAAAAATATATCAATTTGTGGCTATGGAACTTTCTAGGCGTACGACGTCGTACGACGCCATTAGAAGTCCATAATATAATTTAGTAGCTGGCAGCGAACATGTAACAACATTAATCTTATCAATGAATCACGAGGTAAATTTTGAAGTAGACTTAATCTCAACATGTAAACACTGGTGAGAGCCAATAACAAGCACACAAACACACAATCACTGGGGCCTCGCGGCTGAGTGGACAGCGTTCGGGCGTTCTTTAACCCTGATGCACCTGTTCACCTAGCAGTAAATAGGTACCGCCAGATTCACGAAGCAGTTAAGCAAGTACTTACCAACGTGTACATCTTTCCTCAATCTTTGACGGCTTTGGTTACATTTATTAAACAGTTTACAATCATTATAACTTCCCAATCAACTGTTGTTATTCTTATAAACTGCCTCCTGGTGCTTCGGAGCTCATTAACTGTTTAATAATTGTAAACAAAGCCCCCAAAGATTGAGAAAGGATATTCTCGTGAATCTGGGCCCCTGAGAGTTAGACAGCTGCTACGGATTGCGTCATGGGAATGTGTACTCACCTAATTGTGCTTGCGGGGGTTGAGCTCTGGCTCTTTGGTCCCGCCTCTCAACTGTCAATCAACTGGTGTACAGATTCCTGAGCCTATTGGGCTCTATCATATCTACACTTGAAACTGTGTATGGAGTCATGCAGCCTCCACCACATCACTTCCTAATGCATTCCATTTGTCAACCACTCTGACACTCAAAAAGTTCTTTCTAATATCTCTGTGGCTCATTTGGGCACTCAGTTTCCACCTGTGGACACACACCTGTAATTACCTAAGTGGAAATTACAGGTGTGCGTCCACAGGTGGAAACTGAGTGCCCAAATGAGCCACAGAGATATTAGAAAGAACTTTTTTGGTGTCAGAGTGGTTGACCTGTGTGTGTGTGTGTGAGAGAGAGAAATATATGTAGTAGCAATAATAGATGAATAATAAATTGGTTAGAAAGGCGAGGTCCAACAGCTAATAGCTCGATTCTGCAGGCATAAATCGTAAATACAAATGCCAAAAATTGGCTAGGGGAAAATATCACACACACACACACACTCATCCCGCTGAAGTTATACAGATATATATCTGTATAACCAAATAGGCGCAAATTAAATATATATCCAAGATTACATATCGTGCCCGAAACTCTGTGCGTATTAGTGGCATTAAGTATATTGTACAGTTTATAATACTAGCTCTGTATATAAATCTAACATTTGTAAATGTTTCTAACTCATCTTCTATGTATGTACTTTTACATGAATAAATATTTTTTATTTTTTTTTTTGTATTTAGATGGTTGAAAAATATATATTAGATATATGAGAAGTGTGTATATATATTTATATATATATATGAGGGTCGGGTTGAGGAGCCAGCAGCAGTGTGAGGCAGACAGCCGGACCGTGGTGAAGTGTACGCTCCGGCCCACGCCCCAGCGGGATGAGAGTAAACAGCCTCCTGTATCTTCTCCTTTTCCTAATCTCCGCCTTCTCTTGCTTTTCCAAAGTCAGCAGAACCAAATACATACCTCCGGTGGTGCTGAGTAAGTAGATCATATCCTCCTATGGGTTAAGAGGGGGAAGGAGTGTGGCTAGTAGTGAAGGGCTGCTGCTGCTAGTGCCACTCACAACTGTTGCGTAGCTAGTATCAGGGCGGGCTAGTGTTTCCCTGTTATATACACGCCTACTGGAGCCTACTACTACTACTAGCAGCTTAACTACACGCTGCTAGTACTATCGTGTTGAGGAGAGCTGTGTATAGCCAGCTAGTGATTGTCATGGAGACGCTGTCATTGAGAATGCGTCATGAGAATGACATGAGAATCATTCATGATTCATGAGAATGACTCACTAGACACGTTTGTTACATGGGGTGGAGTCCATGACGGGTCTCTACTATTATTATATCACAAGGTCAAGGATTTTGAGCAGACATTTATAATTATTGACAGCAAGTCTGGATAACCATATACTTGTAGCTCGTTCCCTCAGTGTCTTGGTTTCTCATTGTTTGTGACTAGACCCTTGTGACTAGATCAGGGTGGACCTCTCTCTCAGCATACCAGCCACAACAGTTGCCTAGCTCCTGGGTATCAATTTGTTGCTGGGTGAACAGAGGCATTAGGTGTAGGGGAAGATGCCTTGGTGTTTCATCCTGTATCACAGTGGTTCCCATTTTGTAGGGAGGGGGAGGGGGACAGCCCTATTTTCTAATACTAAAAAGCGCCCATGAGGGGTCATGACCCCGGGTTGGGAATCGCAGCTGTATAGAATCGAATAATTTTGTTGGCGAACTGTTTTGTACGAAGCAATCTATATTCTATCCCTCTTATAGATCGAAATAGGCATGAGATTACATTTTGTGAGACGACTGGGAAGTTACAGTAGTAAAAAAAGACCATAACAGGTCTAAAAATACGCGGTAAAGTTTATTTTAAATATTTAAATCTAACATTTATATAAAAAAATATTGTATATGGTCCTTTGCTTTTTAACAAATGTTTTTCAAGCTTTTTCTATTTAACCTTCCTCAATATTTTAAAATTTAGTTTTCTTGCAATACTAGTTTGTTAGGCATAGTACAGCCATTCAAACAATTTTGAACAGTGGTAATTTTTTACCATCAACCTGTTGAACTCCATTCATGTTACCTGGAAGATACTTGAAGTGGGTTGTTTGGAGTTAGTGATGTGAAGTTGCCAGTTCCCAGACATTGAGTTATTGGTAAACTTGGTTTTCTAAAAAAATAGTTCATTGGAATGAATCGAAAGTGGAGGCGATCTATATAATGAGTCTGGAATGCATGCCGTATATATGTAATATCCATGGGGATATTGACACTTCGCAAGCGGCGCTTTACAAGCGTTTTGACATGGGTTCGTATCCTGGCCGAGGAGAATTTACTTGGCGCCAATCCTTAACTGTAGCCTCTGTTCACCCAGCAGTGAATGGGTACCTGGTTGTTAAACAATTTGACAGGTCATATTCTGGGGAAAAGTAGGATTAAGGACTTGCCAAAAATGTTATGCATGCTAGTGGCTGTATAAGAATGTAAGAACAGTATGTATAAATACCAAACAAAAAAAACAATAATCATGGTCACTATATTGAACTGTGCAACATTTTTCAAATAATATCTTAGGTGACCACATTTTTCAGATTTTTCTTTGTATGCTGCTTATGTTTTATTGGTTTGCTGATGAAAATACAGTATGTATTTGCTGAAACAATCTTGATTTTTTTTCTTTATACTGCATATACAAGAGATTTTACATTCTTGTTCAGCCAATAGCATTCATAGCGTTTCGGGCAGGTCTTTATTCCTAATTTTTATACACACACGCACACATCCCCAGAAAACAGTCCGTAGCAGCTGTCTAGCTCCCAGGTACCTATTTACTAATAGATCAACAGGTGCATCAGGGTGGATGAAAGAAACTCTGCCCATTTGTTTCCGCCGGAAATCAAACCCGGACCCTTAGGACTACGGACCCCGAGTGCTATCCACTCAGCCGTCAGGTCCCCAGTAGGCATCATAGCCTAAATTACAAAGGTCTGGGTACTCAAACCATTTGTATATCCAAAATTTAGGATCACAAATTACTAAAGATATTTGGCACTATAGGGGCTTAGACTTTGGTATGAATTAATTTTATTGGGCAAGATTGTGGGCCTGACTTGTGCTAATCCCAACCTAGTACAACAATTCTGCCGGATGCTTTTCTTTAGTGAATAGCCTATACTGTACTGTATTAAAATTCAACCATATGTCAGATGAGTGTATTGGTAGTTATATACCACAGGGTTATATACCATGGAATTGCATACCTACAGAAGCTATAAATGCCAAAATTTTGTTGACTTTTAACATCCAGCTGGAAAAAATCATCAGGACAAATGGAGGGGACTTTTGACAAGCCTTTTGACTTTTTTTTTTGGGGGGGGGGGGGGGAGGGTGTCCCATGGACCACCGGTTGAGAACTACAGTACTACCTTAAGCTAACAACTGACCCTTTATGACATTCAGCTCACAACTGTTGAGCATGTACCTTATGAGTACCCCCTTATTGCTAGGTGAACACAGGCATTTGGCGTAAGGAAATATATCCCAAAGTTCTTGCCCTGCCCCGGCCGCTACAAGTCCAATTATGCAAGAATCTTGTTAAATACATGTAATATAAAAAAGCTTTTCCGTATCATGTAAATAAAAGAATATGAATGGTAATGTTATCCTTTACTGTATGTTGATCTCGCCAACATACATCGATCAACATCCCGTTGATCGATAAGCATTTTGTTATTGTAATAGGGTACAAATATCTGTAATCCAGAATTATGAGAATTTTGATTCTCATAATTTGCACATGCTTGGCACTGAACATTTTGACTGAAAGATAGTCCATCATATCTCCATTTGAAAGTACAATACTGTACTCGACTGTAAATTTTCACATTTGCTCAGTGCTGTTTTTATATTTATTTATTTGTCTTTCATTTCAGTTCCAGGAGATGGAGGGTCTCAGATTGAAGCCAAGCTTGACAAGCCGTCGATCATTCATTACATCTGTCAAAAGAAGTCCGATTATTGGTTTGACTTATGGCTCAATATGGAACTGCTGCTTCCTGTTGTCATTGATTGTTGGGTATGTTGTATAATAATTTGTTGTATAATATAATAGTATATTAAATAAATTCCTTATTAAGACTTCTCAATAGCTCGGTCGGTAGAGCTTCGGCCTCACACGCGCGAGATCCACGGTTCCAGTTTCCAAGAGCCCAGGTGAATGGAATAATAGTATGTTGGCTCTGAACTTTAAAAACATTTTATTTTAACAAACCTTAGTAACCAAAACACATCACAGTATTCATGATGGTTTTTTGATAATTGCCATTTCTAATATATGCACATGGGCACAAACATGCATTGACATGCACACACACTAGAAAGAATTTTTTTTTTAATCAGAGTAGTTAACAAACGAAATACTTAGAAATGATGTGGTGGAGGCAGACTCCATATACAGTTTCAAATGTAGATATGATAAGGGTCCAAAAGGCTTGGGAACATTTATAGACCAAAGTTGGAATATGCAGCAGTTGTATAGTGCCCATATCTCAAGAAGCACATCATTAACTGGGAAAGGTGTAGACATACAACTAAATGGCTCCCTGAATTTAAAAACGAGAGCTATTAGGAGAGGTTAAAGGCATTAAATAGACCAAAACTAGAAGACAGAAAAAAGAGGTAATATGATTACTGCATACAAAGTACTGTAGTAACAGGAATCGACAAAATTTACAAAAAAGAATTTTGAAAATTGCAACTTCAAGAACAAGAGGACAGGTTCAAACTAAGGAAACAAAGCTACTGAAAAACATAAGAAAGTTCCCTTTTGCAAACTGGTAAACGATTGGAACAAGTGAGAAGGCGATGGAGGTCAAAACTGTCGGTAGTTTCAAAGCTGCATATGACAGTACTGAAAAGACGGGACACCACGAGCATAGCTCTCATCCTGTAACTACCCACAACTATGAATCAACTGGTGTAATTACTTAAGATTACACATAACCAAAGAGCCAAAGCTCAACCCCCCCACAAGCACAACTAGTTGAGTACAACTAGGCAAGTATTTCCCACATACAGTGCTCTATATACACACATTCTTTTAGGGAATTAAAAAGGGAATAGACTGATTATTCATGGTTTTATTGAAGTGGAAAATATACCAAAGTAGTAAAAGCTGAAATTTGAAGGCTTATAATTACATTAGAAGACTTACTGAAAATGCTGCATGCTGACTTGGTAATTCATGAAATTGAATTATCCCACCGGTTAGGTCTGGTTTTCTAATGTGGAAGCAGCAGAGTATATGTAGAAACACAAGCGGGTGTTGACATAAGCTGGTAATATTATAGTTTATTTGTTTAAAAAAAATCCTGTCAAATAGATAAGGCATTAAGGAGACCAAATGGGGGTTTGCACAAGATCAGAAAATGACCTTGGAATATCATCTCTGACGAGCTCAAAGAGCTCACCTATCTCCCCACCCCATTCTGACTGCACCCCCTCCTCTACTGACCCCCCCCCCCCACTCCTGCCCAACAACTTGGACTGGACAGTAGAGCACCAGTCTCGTTTCATGCAGGTCATTGATTGTTGGGTATGTTGTATAATAATTTGTTGTATAATATAATAGTATGTTAAATAAAATCCTTATTAATCCTGACTGCCCCTTGGGCAGTCAGTTCAATCCCTGACTGCCCAAGGGGTTGGGCACCATTCCTCCTAACCCCCTCCCCCCCCCAACCATCCCAAATCTTTATCCTGATACCTTCCAAGTTCTATAAAGTTGTAATGGCTTGGCACTTTCTCTTGATAGTTCCCCTGCCACCCCACCTTCTCTACTTTGTTTCCCTTGAGCTCCCCACCTTTTTCAACCGTACCTTCAACAAAAGGTATGTCCCCTTGGTACAGACATACCTTCAACAAAAGGTACTTCAGGTCCCCTTGACCTTCAACAAATCCACTCGAGCCTTTAGCCCCCGTTATTTTCCTGAGCCTTTTTGGCCCGTAGTATAAGTTACAATGCTTGCAAACTAAGGTTAGCCTGTTTTAGTTATTATAATCTGTAGAATTATGCAGTATAATATAACATATTGAATTTAAAGATTGGTTTTTAAACTTATTCTGTATTTGTGACTTACAGGTGGATAACATGAGGCTGCTTTATGACAATGTGACTCGTACTACTATGAATTCTCCAGGCGTACAAACTAGAATTCCAGGATTTGGAAACACTTCAACAGTGGAGTGGTTGGATCCTAGCCAACGCTCACCAACAGGATACTTCAAGGATATTGTCAATGCTATGATTCCGCTGGGATACGAGAGAGGTGTTACGGTCCGCGGAGCTCCATTTGATTTTCGCAGAGCACCAAGTGAGTGTTTTGTTTCCATTTTAACCTTTTGAAGGCTTATAAAATTGTAAAGTGTGTTTATTTTTTACATAGAAAATACATAATTGAAAACAGGCAAAATTTACCCTTTTATACAAAAAGTTAAATGTGGCAAGGATTCCCTACATTGCAGCTGGTTGGAGGCTGGGAAATTCCCACCAATTTTTTTTTTCCTAATAAAGTGCACTATAATTTTTCCAAGTTTATAAAGAGAATTATGTTGGCATATACAGTATAATAAATGGATGATAGACTGGTGAAGATAGTGTGTGAGTAAATTTGATAACAGCATGAGAGGCAGGAAAGGAAGTAGGTGAGTGGACATGTCATGTGAGGAAGGTAGTGAGTAAAGCACTATTTTTAGTAAGACACAAGGTTTGGTGGAAATGGTTTGCAAGGAGTATTATGTTACAACTGCTCTCTTTTTGCCAAACCTTATAATAAGCCTGTGAATGCCATCTTACCATACAGTAGTTGGGCGAATAATTAAGAAAGGAAAGTGCTGATAATACTTGCCTCAACTGATTCATTTTCTTATGACAAATGTCCTAGACTCGTTCTCCCAACGCTTCACTTCCTGAAGCTTTGTACTCTACCTGGCTCAGAAATAGTCATGTAATAATGGGGAGCCTATAAAATTGAACAAGCCCTAAAACCCCAACTACTATTGGCTGAGTTAACCCACATGTTATTCACACTATTTATGAAAGAGTCCCTGTAGTAGCTCCCCCTAAGCTATAACACTAGGGCTGCCAAGCATTGCAGAATCACACCAGGCCTCTGAGACCACCTAAACCTTCTTAGAGTCAAGACCAGAAACTGGCTGTCTCTACAAGCTTAGAAATCAGAAATGAATTCAAAACCAAGAAAAAATCCATTACAGTATGAGTAAATCAAAACAAGTAACTACTGTAATTAAGAGAAATCAGTAACCTTGATGAAAACAAGGCAAACAATCATTACCGTAGGGTAAACAAACCAGCTGTAATGTGCCCGATTGCTACCAGATGGCAACTTGGTCACCCAGGATCCCTTTCAGGCAGCCACTTCATCAAGTCCACATTTAGCTTTGCTCGATGAGGAATGAAATGGTCCTCATTGAGCCATTGCTTTGTTTTTGCTTAATTTACTGTTTATGGTTTGTGTTTTGTGCCACCCATCCTGTGTGTGTGTGTCCTGCTATTTGTTGGAGTTCTTTTCCCTGGTACCTATCTAGTTTGTCTCTTCCTAGTGTGTTTTTACAACATGAAGATTACACACCAATCCCACTATGGACATTGAAATACAACACAGAGCACCTAGATGTTTCTAAAGACAAAGTAAGAGTGCTCATGATTTAGGTTTCAGAAACAAGGCAGTAGGATCAGATTAAGATTCTGCTCGAAAAACTAAACGTATTGGTGGCTTTGCAAAAATATAAGAACACCAATGTTGTATACTCTCACAACCCAATGTCCCTTCTTGTATATAAACACAGTACTGTTAATAAATAACTATTAAGTTCCACCTTGGGTCCTATGTGAGTGATCCTGAACAATATAGTGCTCCAATTACTATGTTTTCCAGTCACCTTTGCAAACAGGAAGCTTTACAAACATTTGGAAAGAAGGCAAACATAGTTCCAATATTCAGAAATAGGACAGAGGGAACCCTTTAACCTATAGCTAAGTACTGTATCATTGTGTAGTGTGGTTCCCCTATTGCTGAAAAAAGTAATGAGAGATGGGTATAATATCTCAAAAGAAAGGACATAATAAGACATGCTTTTTTTTTTATCTGGAAGCTGGAAGATTATGATAGCAATGGATGCTAAGATATTGGTCAGAATTCAAAACTTGGGTTTGATTTCTAGGCAGGACAAGACATTCAGGCACTTTTCCTTATGTTCACCTAGCAATAAATGTATATCTGGGAGTTGGGCAACTGTTATTGGCCAAGGGCAGAAGTGGCGAACCTTTTTTTTTTTTAAGGTGTTTGTCCAAATTGGAGATAGTCTTCTAAAATATTATCTCGAATGCCCATGGAGAACAAAATGCTTTAAAATATTCTTAAATAAGCCTGTTTAGGCAGCAATAACACATCTGAATTCTTGTAAATGGGACAACTAGGAATTATTTATTAATAACTAGTATTTCACATACCGCTAAAGTAAAATTAACAAAATTAGTAGCACTACTACAATAATTTTGCAGTATTGTTACTAATCGCAATAATATTTTAATAATGATCAAAGGTATTGCAATAATGTTTTATATTACAGATGAACACAGCGAATATTTTATACAACTGCGTCAGTTGATTGAGGAGACTTACCAGTACACTGGGCAAAAGATTGTCCTTCTTGTACACAGCATGGGGGCACCAATGACACAGTACTTCCTAAACCACCTGCCCCAAGACTGGAAAGACAGATATATTGAAACAATGGTTTCCTTAGCTGGTGCTTGGGGAGGCTCTGTCAAAGCTGTCAAAGTTTATACTGCAGGTGAGATATAACACTATACTGTATAGGATAAAAACCCACAGTTGTGTATATGTGAAATTTATGTAAGGAATTTACACCAAGTATTTCACTCTCTCCTGAGTCCTTTGTTAAGGTCTGAGTGTGTGATTAGGATGACACTTACATCTCAACGTCTAAACTGATTAGACGTTAAGATGTAAGTCTCATCCTAATCACACACTCGGATCTTGATAAAGCACTCAGGTGTGCAAAAAGACTTGGTGTAAATTCCTTACAAAATTTCACTTGTACAAAAGTGTGGGTTTTTAATCCTACGTTGTTATGTCTGTGAGAAGACTTGTTATGTCTGTTAGAAGACCATTACTAACTACTAGTATACTGTATGTTGCTTCATATGTCTAAGTGTTATATTCACATTTAGAGCATTTTACCTTTGTGATGCCTCATAAACTGTGTTGTTCTTTTGGTCTCCTATTTCCTCTTCCATGCAGTAGATTTATAAAGAAAAGAACCAAGGCGTTATGATCCACCAGTTGTTGAAAGTCACTCAGCAAATAGGAACTGTATTAAAAACACCAATTAAATGAACTTTTGATTTTAAGGAGGAAGGTGGTTCTTCAGCTTTACAAATACAGTACCTAGTGAGCCCCCTCCCTCCCCCACTAGAACTGCTGTATCCATGTATGGAGATCTTGTCTTTTAATGGGCATATCTGCTTTGGATAAAGTTCAGTGCAGAGAGATGAAAATCATCCCTGAACTAACTCGACTATCAATCCAGGAAAGGTTGAGGCCTCAGGACTAGCAAAACTACGAACCAGATACGACAGAGCTGATTACATTGAGACCTTTAAAATACCGACTAAATTTGAAGATATCAATGCAGTCCACTTTTTTAAAAGGTCCCATGTAACACTCACAAAGGGCAGTGGTTTCAGTTGCAACAAACAACAATGTAGGTAAAAAAAAAAAAGAGATGTTTTTTCTCTGATAGGGTAATAAACCCATGGAATCGGCTTCCCATCAGAGCCATAAATGCAAAAATACTTTCCAGTTCAAAATTCAGCTGGAAAAATCCTCAAGAATAATAGGGGGACAGACCTGACAACCAGCTAGCCTCCTGTTCCTGTCAAGTGTACTAAGGATGGTGGCCCTTGGGTAAATATATTGACTGGGGCAATAAATTTTCTTATGTATGTTTAACATGTCTTTGTATGTGTCCTGCTTTCTTCTCACTGACCAATACTTGTACTCGCTTAGATGCGCTTGCAGGGTTAGCTAGGCTCCTAGCCCCGCCTTTTGAATGTTCGTAGATTAATGCAGTGACTCATTTCTCACGCTTTTATCATATTTACAGTTAACATTTTGTATCGAATTTCCTTTAATGACTTCTGCATCTAACCGAAACTGAAACCTATGCTCATTAAATATCATATTATTTTCTGTGGCCCATTGAAAGACTGAAGATGTGCTCAGTATTGGTAGAGGTTTCAAGTATGACAAAACAGTAATGGTTATAAGTATATGCTGATTGGGGGGGGGGACAGGAAGCCCTTAAATTGTAAGGCTAGATGCAAGTGCCATGCTGTGGATAGTTTGAGTCATTTGCAATGCTAAATATATTGGTTAAACTTAGTTATCAAAAGTTTAATGGACATTATTTTGTTCTCCATCATGATGGATGATATTTGACTTAACTGGTAATTTTTCTGGGTTAAGAGTTCCCCTTACACTATCTTTGTTTTGCAGGAGACAACTTGGGCATTTATGTCATTAGTGCAGCGAAAGTGCGAGCAGAGCAGAGGTCGGCTCCTAGTTTGGCATTTCTCTTGCCCTCAGATGAACTCTGGGGACCAAATGAAACCATAGTTGAAACTCCAACCAAAAACTACTCTGCAGCAGACTTCAAGGAGTTATTTGAGTCTGTATCTTTTTAATTATGGTCAATGTGAACATAACAGTGGGAAAAGTTAAGGCTACCTATTCATGTGTATACTGTACTGCACTTATCCACATTATGCCTGAACGATAAGAATATTAATTATAGTCATAAACCTGTAAGTTTTGTTATCTGCGTAGGTCACCATGCAATTTTAAAATTAACATTTGATATAATTCTAGTTACTTAGTCATTTAAGCAATTGAAATGGTTTGATAAAAAATGTTCTCAGGGCCCAATTGTGCTGTACTGTTGTAATTCATGAAAAGGTTAGATTGATATACTGTAGGTAAGTGGAAATATATGTTTACTAATGGTCATGTATATTGCAGGGATTTAAATTTACCCGACGCGTATAACATGTACTTGGACACCAAAGATCTTCTGCGTAATGCTCCAGCCCCAGGACTAGAGTTACATTGTTTACATGGTGAAGGGGTTGACACTGTGGAAAAGTAGGTTCTATCTTGTATTATATATTCATTTAGAAAATTCTATAGCTGTTGATATTAGTGTTACAAATACTGAATGCTTGGTAGAACTGTCATCACTGTAATAATATAGTTAGTTTAGTCTTAATTATGTGGTGTCGTATGTAGCTATTGAGCCCTGCTGCAAAACATTTGGTCTGTTCCATTAACTCTGCATCTCTCAAGCATGGAATTGTGGCATCTGTTTTGTCTGCCACTATGCAGATAAAGTAAATATTTACTTATGACAAAGAAATTTGTGAAATTCCGAGGACACAGCATGGTTTTCGGTGAAACCTTAAACTTGCTGATGATTGATAACCCAAATTAATTATTCGTGAACCTGACACCAGTCTTGACTCGCATCTCAGATGTCACCCTACCACCACTAGACTTTGAAGTAACCATAGGCAGCAAACCCATGCATTTTGCCCCAGATCAAAATTCCTGGAATTTTACAATTATCAAAAATTGGTTGAAAAAATTATCACGGGCCATAAACAGTAGTTGGAGACGAATCTTAGATACCAATGTCATCCTTGGCACTCCTAAAATGGTGATCATGCCTACCCACAAAGGTGTCAATAAAGTGTCAAAGTTCTGTAAACCAATATCATAACATCACATGTTATAAAAAATCTATGAAAAATGCTAAGAAAGAAAGATCACAAAATACATAGAATCACATCTGCAAAGCGAATGTGAATATAGAAAAGGATGCTCCCGGCTCTCAAAATTGTTATATTACTGTGATATAACCTTGTATGTCATGGTAGATGAACAAAACAGATGTTTTACACACGAAAATCACAATAGCGTGATATATCAAATTAACAAATCCAAGTAAGTGGATTGAAGTAAGGGCATAGAGGTCAAACATTTGGTTGACAGAACCCGGGTGCATGAGGAAATTGTGTGAAACCCCAATTAGGCTTCGGAGAAGCTTCGGGATCCTAATGAGGACAGGAGCACTCCAGGTTTCAATTCTTTTAACAATGTCATGGAAAAGTTGACTAAGGCGCAGCTGGGAACATCCTGTGCGTAGGTTCGAACCCTCATAACGGTCCTTGTGCATTTTTTCATTAAAACAGATGTTTTGTTTGTCATACACAAACTTCATGAAAGCTCTTATCAAATGTGACCGTAGTGTAACTACACAAAACATACATGAAAGAAATAACTGGTAAGATAGCAAGATGGATTTTTGATTTTCAAATGAACAGCTCCCAGAGAATAATACAGTAGTCAAAAAAGTAAGTTCTGGATCATCTAACTTGAAAAGCTCATTTCCCCATGATATCGTTACTTGCTCCACAACCATTCCTCATTCTCTATTACCATGTCATAATTTGCAAATATTACTGAGAGTTTTATAGGAGCAGAAACTTGAGGATATAGCATACCTCCAAACTGATATAAGCCAGGTTTTTCAGAAAGCCTCATAAACAATATGATGCTATAAACAAATTCCAGCTTGTGTGTTATGGCAAAAAAACAAAAAAACAAACTGGAGCTGCATAAAAAAGCCAAACCACACTGCAGAAAGAAAAAGCAACATAAAAGATCTGAGTGTCATCTTGTTGGAAGACCTTACTTTTAATGACTGCATTAAAATACCTGTCACAATTGCAAGAAAAATTCTAAGCTGCATAACAAGATTTTTTCAAATAAGAGATGCCAAACCAATGATGGTACTTTAAGACACTAGTACAGTAATATCTAGTGTGGAATATTGCTGCACTCTAGCAAGAGCAGTTGCTGACTTGGAGAAAGTGCAGAGGACTTGTACTGAAGTGTAGGTGAGGGAATTGCATAATAATTTTCACCTGGAAATTTTTTTAAGTCACATCTCCAAACTAGTCAAATCGCCAAACTAAAATGATTTTTTACGAGACCAGAAAACGTGGCAGAATGTGTTAAGTAGCCCCATTGAAAAATAGTATTACAATAGATACTCTTTCAAGAGAGAATTCTATATTAAAGGCCCAAGGCTTTTCAATCTCCTCCCTTTAAATATATGAGGCACAGCTAGCTAACCTCTTGCTATTCAAGAAGGCGAGCTTGATGAACCAGATCAAGGGTACCTGATCAGCTGTGGGAAATATTAAATAGATAATAATGATGTTTGTTCCTTTAACAACCTTTTAGCTTCTTATTGTTTATAACTTGTGTGAATTCTTCATATTTAATAATTCAGATTGTTTGTCACATTGTGTGCTCAGTTAGATACCTTTTAAAATGAATGTTGAGATGAGGTATTTGGTTTCATACAGGCTGATCTATCCAAGTGGGAAGTTTCCCGATAGTCCAGCTATTATTAATGGAGGAGGGGATGGAACAGTCAACACACGCAGTGCTCAAGTTTGTCTTAAAGTAAGTTTTCAACTATTTTTTTGTCGGAACAGTTTAACTTCAATTATCTGAATCAATTGCTATGTCTGGATATCCAGACAACTAAAAAGGTTGATAACCGAATTCAAATTGGAAGACTATTTTATTTTTGTTTTATATTTTGAGATGGTAAAAACACTAATAATTATGTTGATATGAATACACCAATGTTTATGGTGGAAACCAATTACATTTCTGTGGAGAGCCCCTCTGGCTCCCTGGAGCTTACCGGGCTGATATGTATGTATTAGACCGAGGCATCAGTCAATTTGATTGGAGTTCTATGCCTTCTGGGAACTCGAGCCAGAACCTGGCCCCCCTTAGAGAGGCACGAGGAGCAATGGCCTATAGCAACCCCCATGTGGTTGAAAGCATTCCATGTCTGCCATTGATCAGGTTAGGCACTCAGAAAGGTAGGCATCTCAAAACAAACTCCACCTGGTTAAAATTTGCTACCGAAAACGGAACTATCAAGCAGAATTCCCAATACAAAAACAAGCAAACAAGCATGACGTCACAAGTGCCGCCGCACCACTGTCTGTGTAGCTTCCCCCTTCCCGGGAGGTGGAAGGGGAAGTCCCAGACCCTTGTGCCGGCTATCCAACCCCCAGTTCTGAGGCTATGTTGAATGGCAGTCGTTCAACTCTGGCTCCTGTCTCTTTGCAGTGCTGTGCCTTTGGGGGCAGTGTTCTGCTGTGTGGTGGTGTGCGAGCCAGTAGTAATTCATGTAGTACTGGGGCTGCATACGCCTAGGGCTACCTTCCCTAGGTTCCCTGTAAGTACTGCCCTTGCGACTTGGGGTTATCGTCTACAAGTCATTTGGGGACTACTATACTGTACCTCCGTAGGGTCTCGGTGATTGCCCGCCCTCGGGGGTCAGCTGAGATTTTCATAGCCACTGTTTGACCTTGGGTAGGAGGTAGTATGGTGGCTGGTAGGGGCACAAGGTACTGTGCAGCTATTATCACAGCGGCCGGTTCTGTTCCTCCTGGGGACGTTGCGCTTTTGCAGGGTTTTCTTTTTCTTTTTGTTTGTTTCCTGGTGGAGGGGTCTGCCCCTTGGTCATTGTCCTCTCTATTATTCGGGTGGTCCCCCGCTAGGTCCCCGTGATTGTACACTTTGCAGGGATTCAGCTTTAATTGTTTTTGGTAGTTTGGGCCAACCGGCTAGCAGTACCTTGCCTGGGGTTCCCTTAGCAGTTAGCCTAAGGGCCCTGGAAAACCACATTTGGGCTCATTGGTCCAATGGATGCATCCTCTGGGTCCCATCTCGCCTTGTGCGAGTTTGAAGGATGACATTTCCCAGACCCTGTCCCCTTGTCTCAGGGTGACATTCACCGGGTTTGCCTCAATAATGCTGTCTGTTGGGTCGATGATACCTTTGACCCAGAATCCTGTGAGTGGTGTTCCTTGCTGGTGCTCCAATTCATCCAGTCCACTGATACTGATAATCGGGTGAAAGCAGCTTCAGCGTTGCATGCAAGGTTTCGGTTGCTGCAATGTGCTTGGTTGGTTGCCTTTCCGGATGCCCTGCGGCTGCCCCGCTTTAGTTATAGGGCCCCGAACTTGGGGGCGTTAGTCTCTTTGACTTTGGTTTTGTCCACACTCCCTGGTCCTTTCCCTGCTGCTGTTTTTCCTGCTGCCCCCCCCCCCCTCCTCCATCTGCCGGGTCCCAAACGTCTGGGGGGGGGGGGGGGGGTTCGGAGTCGAGGCAGGGTTTAGATGGTGGTAAGACTCGGGCGGTCATGGGGGCTGCCCCATCCAGTTCGGCGACAGAGGCATTTGAGTCTGCTCCTCCAGCTGGGGCTGTGGCCTCTGCCTTTTCTTTAGGGGGTGGAGGATTTGGAAAACGGCTCGGCCTCGGATCCTGGCATGGAAGATCCCAGAATGGGGGAAGAGTTAACTTAGGGGGCTTGGGGCCCCATTTGACCATGCTTGGGTGTTGGTACCCTCGATGCAGGGCTTGTTGTTGCAAGGGGAGGGGGTTTTCTTACCCCACCCCCTCTCTGTGTACGAATTTGATGTGGGTTCTGCTCTTCCCAGGGTTCGACTCCACGTTCCCTTGGGTTTTTCAGTCCCTTCCGGAAGTTTTCGGCTTCCCGAATCCCGCCTAAGAAGGTTTGGGAGGCACTTGCGGCGTACCTTCTGTGTGACCCGGATTGCGCCTCAGTAATGGGCCCTTCCTCATTTGAGTTCAGTTCTACTTTTCCTTATTGGGTGCGTTACGAGGTTCCGGTGTCGTCCTGGTTAACAGACTACCTTTTCTTTTCTTTGAGGGTGTGGCATTTGTTCCTGGTTGATACCTGGTTGATGGGGTTCTGGGAGTTTTTCTACTCCCCAACTTCCGTCAAACCTGCACGCTTGAATAGCGGGAATCTTAGGTGGTATTCAGGTTTACCTGGGGGCGAGTTGGAGCACTTCAATCATGCTTATTTGCCCCCATTCTTCCTAGGGATATTGGCCAGGTGCAGCTTTATGTGCAAGTTCCCGTCCTTTCAGTGTCCCTGGTAGCTGAGGATTTGTGCGCCCAGGGGTACTTGGCTTTAGTTTTGCGTTTCTTTTCCTCACTCGAGCTGTCTTCAGACTGGCTTGAGGGGAGGATGTGGAGGCGCTGGTTGCCGTGCCAGTGTCTGGTGCTCTTGCCTCGGTGGCTCGGGCATCAGCTACCTTGTTGAAGTTTTGTGCCGATTCTGTAGGAGGCGGTGTCTCTGTTCTATGCTTCTCACCCCGTGTGCTGGCAGGCTGTACCTCGCTCACTCCTTGGAATCCGCATGGGCTCTAAGGTTTTCGTTGCCCTTTTGTCCGTTGCCATTTTCAGATTCTGTGGTTGTGCAGTATCTGCAGGTGGCTTCGTCTAGCTGTCGCACTTGTTTGTTCTCCGTGGGGGGTCTTTCCCGGAAGGGTCATGCCAGGGTTCGGGGTTCCAGATAGAGCTACAGATTTTACAGGAAAGAGATGGTTGGATTGAAAGCATTTACCTGGACCTAAAAAAAATGTTGACATTCCCACGTAAGAGGTTGTTTGAGAAACTAAAACATACTAGAGGGGGTGACAGGAAAACTTGAAAAACAGATGGAAAATTTGACAGAAAAATGAGGGTGGTAATCAGAGGCATTATATCAGACCGATGAAATGTTAAAAGTGGTGTACCACAGGGTTTAGTTCTGGCACCAGTAATGTTCACCATCATTTTTATAAACTATCTACCAGAAAGAATCCAAATTATATGAACATATTTAGTGATGATGCCAAGCTACAGTACTATGGAAGATAAGAAACTTAAACCATTGAGGACTTCAATTAGAAGCAAAGTTATGATTTTTTTTTTTTTTTTTTAGCTTGAAAGTTAAAAGTTGTATTTTCATCACAATGGCAACCCTATAATATCATGCGTCACTGAGGGGTAAGATTTCTCGTTATGGATGTTACTTCGGGTACTTTAACATCCTACCAAATTTCATAGAAATCTGAGATGGCCAGGTTGGGAGCTGTGATATTTTATATGGAAAGACCCATAGGAAATGGATACAATAGGTAAGAGAAGTCACAAAATTATATAGCAGTAATTAAATTGTCAAAATAAACACAGGGATAAAGAAAACAGTATTTCCCATTTCTATTTTGTGCTTGGAGCTACATATAATAGACATAATAGATAATAAATGTAACAAAATATATATTTTTTCCAGTGGGCAGACAAACAGAAATATAAAATCCATTACAAGACATTTAAAGGTGTAGACCACATGCAGATACTGCGGGACAAAGGAAGCATCAGCTATGTAGTCGAATTGCTCTCCAACATCACCGTGAAGAACGAGCGACAGGCTAAGATGAAGATGATCAATTTAGAAAATCTTGAAAAAAGAAAAGACAAGGAATTTCTAAGAAATTATGCCATAAATGGAAGAAAAAGGGAAATTCTAAACATGGATGAAAATAAACTTGCAAGTGAGGACAGTAAAAGACATAATGCAATTACAAAGAAATTTTACAATGTCATGGTACAAGACGATGGCCCTTTGTTAGGGAAGGGATTGTGATCATAGGTTCTGCATTAGATATAAATTCCTGTGCCAGTTCTTACTTTTTTATTCACCTTTTGACCAATCTTCAGTTTTCTAGAATTTTGCAACCCATGACAATTATCTAGTTGAAGATGGCATACCTGAAGCTGTGCATTCCTTTTGAATAGAAAAGTATAGAATCTATACTTTCATAGGTTTGTTGCCACTCTGTGTCACTGCTTCTGGAAGTGATTTTGTTTACCATAATGAATTACAGTATTGAAAAGAAGCACCATTAATGAAGCTCCTCAGGAGCTCACTTGACAGCATTTGTTTGAAAAGAATGTTTTCTAGCGTCACGATGCTCGGTGGATAGGAATAAGGTAACATTTATCAATCGCTGCGACAATTGACAGCATGTGTCTGTCAACAAAAATTTTCCCAAATGCCTCACAAAATTTTGTTTTCGATATATGCTTTGCATAAAGGGCATAACAAAATACATCATACAGACTTAAAAATCTTTTGGCTTTGTTCATTTTTTTTTAATCTAAATGACTTAGCTGGAATAATAAATGTGTACACCAAATGTTAGATTTTTAGCCCTGTTTAATACTGTAACAAGAAATGATATATGTGTGGCACTTTAAATGTCAGTACTGTATTAATATGGTTTCAAGAAAAATGTAAGTTGTAAAGTTCTCCTTTTAATTAATAAATCAATAGATAAAATCGTGTAAGTTAATATCTTTACAGCTTTTACCGATGACTTGTATGTCAACTATAAGTTCAATTTTGAGTTTAAAGATAAAGGCAGAATCTTGACACACTGTTAGTGCATACATAATGGCTTGGTTATTACAAGTTAATGATATTCTTACAAAAGTAAGCAAAAACAACTTGGTCAAATTGTTTGTACTGGTATATTGTATGGTAGAGTATAGATTTCTTTAATTGGACATTAGAGAATGCATTTTAAGTTATTGCATGAATGTTGGATACACTGTACAGTAAACACTGTTTATAATATATGCGGGATCCATAAAACTAAATGAATTTCTAAATGTTAGTTTTCATTCTATTTTGCAAACCATTTAATTAATAATATAGTTTGAAACACAACAGTTTTACATTTTTTAGGGAAAAATTGACAGTACCCACCATTTCCCTAACAGTTTATCAGTTTTGAGTTCGGTGCCTCTTAAACTATTTCAGTGTCATTTACTCTTGAGCATTTAGCACAAAATTATATTCATGTGTAATGAATTTTTTATACATTTGTGGTAATTTTTGTCTTATTCTCTCAATTGTTTTGTTATATGTACTGTACTTCTTTTATTTATTATATAAGATTATATTCTTTTACAAATTGTTACTTGTTGAAATTTGTTTTCATGAAATTTGTTTACACAAATTTCATGGGTAAGCTGCCTTTCTGTGTTGAGAAACCTTAGTTTTTAACCATCATAATTTATGTTGTTATACAACATTACTAAATATATATAGAGAGAGACCGTACAAAATGGCTGTAATCTGTGAAGTTACAGTGGTTTGTTAAAGAATGCTCAGAATGACCTACTGTAGAATATTCAAAAAGCTCATGTTTTTTGTTAATTAATATAGTATTTGTTTTGATTGATGCATGCAACCAAATTGTTGCATTGATAATTATGTAATACTGTAAACAAATCCACAAGGGCTGTGATGAGGGTTCGAACATACGCACGAGATGTTCCTAACTGCGCCTTAGTCAACTGTGCCACATCATGGTCGTGGTACAGTTGTGTGTATTATGTGACAACTAATATGAAATGAAAACACAATTCAGTTGTATTGAATTATGTGTAAACCATGTCGTGGCATAGTTGACTTGAGGCGCTGCTGGGAACATCTCGTGCGTAGGTTCGAACCCTCATCACGACCCTTGTGGATGTGTTCATTTGATATATCACATTATTATGATTTGTGTGTGTACGTAATACTGTATTTGGCATGTTGAGATTTTTACAGGTTGGGATTGAACTGTATCGACTAGATTATTTTGTCTTGTTTAGGGTATAATATACACTCAAAAGACTTTTATTTTTATTTTTAATTTCAGTGCCTGCTTAATCCATACTTTGTGTTAGTTAATATCATTTTAATTAGCTTGCACAAAATGAAACTGCATAAAAATATGTAATTTTTGTATTGCACAAATTTGCACATCCTTGACAAACATTTATAGAATGCTTAATGGTTTAATGACTTTGAGATGAATATTTAAAACATTTGTTAGATATTGTTATCATACTGTTAATACATTTGTTTTGAGTATGTGACAGTCTGATGCAGTCGTTATAATATGCCAAAGTGTGTTTTATTAGTATACCAAGAATTGAATTGTGTGTAAATTTGCACGAATATTTGTTTAGTGAATAAATGAGAAATGGTTACACAAGTAGTGTTATTGAATTATATATACTAGTGATTGTGTTAAATGCACTATGTGATAAATTACACTGAATTACATGCACCAGGGATCAATTTCACTAAATTGCATGCATCAGGGCTCAGTTACATGGAATTGCATATAACAGTGATCAGTTACACTGAATTGTATACACTTAGGCTTAACTGGAGGGAGTTTGATATCAGCTGATAATTGTTTTTGTGTATCATGCATGTAAATGCTGTGGGCATATAATTCAAGTACTGTATATTTATACATATATAATAAATGTTTATTTTCATTTGAACACAGTTTTGTTTTCTTGACAATGAGTTCTTTTAGTATTATAATAGTGTCAGTGAACTACTCCTCTCATGGCAGGTGTCTTGACATGGTGAGAAAGGCTAGAGTACTTTGATGTTCTGAATGGAAGTTGATTGTGGCCTCTGAAGCTACACTTCTGCCCAAAGGTGAGTAGCAAGACTTATATTGTGCCCTGTGGTAATGTGTGTGTTTACTGTCCATGGAGACCCATGTATTGCTGATGGTGAGACGAATATAAATGTTACTAATTCTCGACTTTGTTCTATAAAATTGTGTAACTTACATGATATGCTTAAACCACCCAATTTCACTGTCGAACCCCAATGACATATCAAAATCTATGCCAAGGATACTTTATTCTCCATGATGACGTTTGTATCCAACCCCCTTGGAAAATGATCTAGTTCATTTCGTGTTGCAAAAATTTCTCAAGAGCCCTTTCAACTCCTTGTTACAAACAAGCAATTGCCAGTTTCACACAATCACACACTCACATGAAGAGGAATATATTGCAAGAAGAACTAGTTTCAAGAGATTGAAAAATGACTTCTGGATTTTAACCGGCAAGTGCAAGGTTGTAGGGATGGGAATAGGAGTCGAAAAGTCACAAAGTACAGGATGAAAGGGAGGCAACTTCCCAATTTTGAAAACGAAAAAAACTTAAAAGTAGGCATAACTCGAGATGTGCCCAAAACATGATGCACGTTAGTGGCCATGGAAGAATTTAAGAATACAAATGTTATGTACTCGAACAAAAATAGCCTTGGAGAAAGAAAAATGGACTAAAGGGGACATCGGGAAATGAGGAAAGGCAAGAACACAATCTGAAGACCATGCAGGCAGTGCATAAACAAGCCTGAGGTGAAACATAGCGAGACAGCCAGCAAAACGGCACCAGGTAGTATCGACACTGAACCCATAAGAATAAATTTTAGGGTGTTATCTGTAATTTGAACCAGGGGATGAATAACAAGGGTCAAGAAGGGTTGAAAGTTTTATTTTAATTTTCCTTCGTAAGACATTTTGTTTTTTGTGCCCTGCATGCTGTAGCACTGCAGGTAGGTAAAATTTAGCTATTTCATTAGGATAATGTAAGGTGCCAGTAATAAAGTCGGGTTCTATCATGACTGTAATTAAGAATTCTGGGTTTGTATCACGGGTGGGAGAGAAATGGGTGGGTTAGTTTCCTATCACCTAATGCCTCTGTCTGCCTGGCAGTAAATTGGTACCAAGGAGTCAGCTTGTTGAGGGTATGCATCCTGGGCAGGTCAGTAATTCGACCCTGTGGGGGTACCTCAATATAAACCTAACATGTACTATATGTGTGAACTGGCTGCTTGTCACCCGACAACGAATAAATAATAAATTATTATATAATCCCTAAGACAATATATTTTAGTGTGCCATGAAAGGAATGTTCGTTTTCTAAGTGAATTTAAAATTAATAGGCCTTACACAGAAACTTTTCACATTCCTTCGACTATGTTATTATTCCTATGTATCTCTTTGTTTTCGCCTTATCTCTTTATCTGGCACTGCTATGCAATTTCTTTATTATGCACCCCATACCTATCCCGTGGGCGGTGGTGGAAAGGGTTACAGAGGAACATAATGGGTTCAGGAACTGAGCCCCCATAGTTCGTTTAGCTAAGCGAATGACAATCTTTGAAGCTAATTACACAATTGCTAATGTTACATACAAATGTGCATATATGTACAATCATTTACACAGATACATATCAATAATATTTCTATATCACAAGTGATTCAACAAGAGGCTCACAAGGCACTTTACATCTATGGTGAGTCACACAGTCTTGCTGCACACCCACCCAATTGGGCGGCAGCTTTACAGTCATGTGCTCCACACCCACCCAACTGGGCGGCAGCTTTAGTCATGTGCTCCACACCCACCCAACTGGGCGGCAGCTTTACAGTCATGTGCTCCACACCCACCCAACTGGGCGGCATCTTTACAGTCATGTGCTCCACACCCACCCAATTGGGCGGCAGCTTTACAGTCATGTGCTCCACACCCACCCAACTGGGCGGCAGCTTTAGTCATGTGCTCCACACCCACCCAACTGGGCGGCAGCTTTACAGTCATGTGCTCCACACCCACCAAACTGGGCGGCAGCTTTACAGTCATGTGCAGGCCGCACCTACAGTAAGCAAATTTGGGCTGCAGTCGATGTCTTTGTGGGGATTATCGAGCATGGTCATTCATCTGGCCGCTTCTCCCATCTCTCTCCCTCGTTCAATTCCGTTCCCATGGCTTGTGGACTACTTAATTTAATCTTTCTACTGCCTCTTCCTGTGTCATTTTGCTAATAAAGATGGCCCAGTTGGCTTGAAGACGTTTTAACAGTATTTTCACCTTTCAAGTGTAGTTATTCTGCATTAATGTGATCAGCTAATTTTCATCATCACACATACACATACATACATTATATATATATATATATATATATATATATATATATATATATATATATATATATATATATATATATATATATATATATATATATATATATATATATATATATATATGCAAAAAAAATCACGATGGCATATGATATATCAATGAAAAAATCACTTTGGGGCAATAAGGTGACTTGAACCGGCGTTGTAATGATTCCCAGACACGTACCTTAACCCACTCAGCCACAATAGGACAAAAGCCTATCAACCCGGAACTCTACTGAATTCACTGAGAGGTTCAAGAGGCCCGAACCGGTGCCCAACCAGGATTTTACAATAGGCCTGCCTACACTCTGGCCAGCGGGTAACCACACTTTACAGGTCACAAGGTAGTTAACTAATTTCCTTGTGGTCGAATGACAGCCCGGTGAAGGCACGTTCAATTGGGCAGCTGTTAGTTGCCTAGGAAGCCTTCCCTTTTATGGCTAGCCCAGTAGTGCAATTGATAGTGATTATATATATATATATATATATATATATATATATATATATATATATATATATATATATATATATATATATATATATATATATATATATATATATATATATAATATAAAATTTGTATATGTGTGTGTGTTGGGGGGTGGATGGAACATAATTCATGTGATGTAATGGAAATAAACTGCTTGCATAAATTGTAAGGCAGAGTGAATTCCTTAAGTGATCGTAGTTCAGTAATCTGAATCTCTGGAAGAAGCCCCTTATGTATGTTGAATGGAAAACGTGCGTCTGTATTGTGCGCTGTGAAACGCTCTCTGCAGTGGCTCGTGGAATCGCTCTTTTCCTTGTTATAAGTCGAGCCTAAGTGACAAAACCATCCATCTTATATCGGCAAGTGTGAGATGTATAACTATTAATTTTAGGTATAATAAAAAAATATTGTGTTTTCTCATTGTAAGCGGGAAATATTTGGTTTGGTAAATGAGTGCGTGGCAACTGTGGTGTTGAGCGCGGTCGGCATTGATCCCGACCTGAGCGAGGTTCTCAGTCGGGCGCTGCAGGCGAGTCAAGCAATACTCAAGCCAGCCTAGAGGCCCTCTAGCACGTGTTGCTGCTCTTGCGCATACCTTGTGTCTTCCACCACTCTACCCTATTGTGGTCCACCACGCTCCCTCCTAGTGTGTTCCACTACACTCTCCCCCTAGTGTGTTCCACCACTACACTCTCCCCTAGTGTGTTCCACCACTACACTCTCCCCTAGTGTGTTCCACCACGCTCAGCGCTATCTCGTGAAAATGAAATAGTCCTTGTGTAAGTGTGGCACACAGAGAGATAAAATATATATAAACCCCGGTACCTGCCGACTGCTCGAAGCTGCCGCTACACCTGCTCTGGTGAGTATACATGACACTATATTATACATACACAGCCATCCTCACTCTTAGTTATCCCGTGCTAATTACTCTTATTCTTGTATGATATATTTCAGCAGATATATACCCGCCCACAGAACAGTGGTATTCATATATCCCCCCCCACGGAAGGATAAGAGCATACAGTATATATATATATATATATATATATATATATATATATATATATATATATATATATATATATATATATATATATATATATAATATACTGCAACTAAAACTTGGGCTTCTGCTCACACTCGAGGGACTCGGGTTCAATTCCCGGGCAGGACAGAGACGGTTGAGCATGTTTCCTTTCACCTGATGCACCTATTCACTTAGAAGTAAAATATAGGTACCTGTGAGTTAGGCAATTGTCGTCGGTTGCATCCTTGGAAAAGTCACTGTAATAGGCCTATGGGGATCTGTGTATTCTTTTGACCACTGTTAGGCCTATACCAGTTTGTCCATTTTCACCCGTAGGGTTATAAACCGGAACCGCCTACCCGTCGAAGCCGTAAATGCCAAAACACTGCTGTAATGTAATATCTAAATAGATAAAATCATGACACATGGAGGGACCTTTGACAGCCCGCTGGCTTCCTGTCCTTGTCAAGGCCACTAGAGAGATAGTGGCTCTCTGGTAAATTCCGGTAAATTTAGCTGATAGTCTTGCAAATTGTGTTATCGATTGAAATTGTTAACAATAAGTTTTAATAATTATTCTTTCCAGTGTATAATATAGATATTTTTGATCAGTAAGTTTTATTTTGTATTTTGAACGACTACTGGTAAAGCTTGAGATAACGACCACCGGTAAAGCTTAAGATAACGACCACCGGTAAAGATTACGATAACCGCTGTAAGGTTAAAATAACCCTTTTTACGTGTGATCGACTTTGTCTTTGTCTTTTGGGCGAGCTGAACTGGACCAAATGTGAAATACATAGTGAAGCATTATACTGTATATGTACATTCCTTGATCTTGAACACGTGCCGTAATTGCTTGGCATATACCTGGAGTATACATGGAGTATACCTGGAGTTCTACTCCCACAAGTCCCGCCTAGGGGCAATTTTTGTTTTGTTTTTTGTTTTGTTTACAAAGATAGGTAAGAGACGACTACGGACTAAGGTCAGCTG